TTTTTTTCCTTCGTTTTTAAAATTTTATTTTTTTTTTTTTTTTTTTTTTTTTTTTTGCTCATATCATGGGTGCTCTTTATATCTATTTGTTTCTTTTTTTTTGTTGTTTTATTTTATCACTTTTTTTCCAACTTGCCCTTTTTTAATGGAAATCAGTTAAGATTCAATCTTTTCAAACTGACACACTCGATATGATGAATAAATATTTTTTTCTTTATACTAAACAATTTTTCGCTAGTGACTGGTGTGCTCTAGTTTTAATTATAGAGCAATTATTTACCAGCAGGTGCTTATATATATATATATATATATATAGTAAATATTAAAACAATATTATGAATATAAAAGTGATATTGTAAGTATTTGTCTTTTTGTAAACTTATTCTATATGTCCTTTCTGTAGTGTGTTCTAGTCCTGATACCCCAGGTCCTAGTGGTATAACACCAGTTCAGGCTGTAGTCAGGGGGAGGACAACCAGCACCCCAGGGTCAGTGGGCAGGACACCCCCCAACTGTGTTGATAGCCTGGGGATGGAGGTGCCCACAGGGATGAAAACTCCAGGAACTGAAGGGAACATTTCTGGGGATAATGTCAAAGGTTCAGCAACAAAGGGGAATTTTCGAAAAATGAAGTCTTATGTGAGCCCCCTGCAGATGTCGTGGGACAGGTGTGGTGAAGTTTACTTTATTTACCACATAGTTTTTAATGTAATTTAATGCTTATCATTTTATCATGCATGGAAATTGGTATCAAACTGTGTTTTGATTAACAATAACATTTTTATTCAAGATTGTAGCAAGTGTTGTTACATGAAGAACATATTTTTCATAAATTATTTTTGTGGAAATCTTTTTTTATAATCTCGTGGTCTTTTCATAACAATTGATTGATTTGGTTCTTGATTTGATTTTGTCTACAGTCCTGCATTGAAGCACCTGTTGAGGACACCTGGTTATGAGCAGATGTTACACAGCACTCCTAACATAGCCGTCAGTCTTGGGGCTGATCCTAATGACACTGGCTTGTCTTGGACCAGTTCTTTGGCAACACCACCACCTGGTAATTGTTTTACACTCTGTTTTTTCACATAAAAACATATTATTTAAATTTGATGTTTGAAAAATAAAAAGGATTATAATTGGATTGTTAAAAGGAAAGTAAAATGATTAAGTACCCCTGTTCTTTGTTGCTGATTTAACAATTTTTTGTATAAACAATTTTTTGACAGTTTTGAGTCGCAATTTATAAGTTTGTGTGAAGATATTGGTAGCAATTTATTACATGAGAGAATGCGAAAATATATTTTTAAGAAAAGAGGACAGTAAGTATTAAAATTCAGAATGTCAGTCATGAAGTTTTCTTTTACATTGCAGGAACTGTAAGTGTAAACAGTGAAACAAAGCAGAATGCATCTCTAGAGGAAGGTCAAAGGAAACCAGGGGTAAGTATGCTGGTGCTGTATTTTGTTGCTTTTGTGACTGGTCAAATAAATGTTTAAGCAGGAATAAAAATAAATAGAAATAAATCTGAATTTCTAAAAAGAAACTCACTGTTATATTCCGAATTTAAGACTATGCTTTCATATTGTTGTGCATAGTAAATCACAAATAGTTATATTTGGAATATATAATATAATACACTTCCAAGTGTCTTTTTAGCCTCAGAAATTATATTGTATCACATACATTTAGACAAGCGATTTGTCCTAGATATAAGAATATGGGAAACTGTAATTGCTGTTTAATTTTTGTATACAGATAACCTTATATCTGTGCATGTGAAATAACATTCACATATTTGAAAGTGCATACACTCTCCCCTGTTCTAGGCCCTAGCAAGAGTGCTTTTCTCTCCTGGTGAAGGTCCCTCATCTCGGATGTCCAAGGTCAACCAGGTTGACCTTAATCTCACCATAGAACATGAACCGCTTGATGCCTCTCTAGATGACCTACATGACAAGAGGGGGGCAAAACTAGCAGCTTCAGGGAAATCGACTGGTCAAGAAAATGACGGAGAAGGCACAGAGGAAAGGCAGTGTACTGTGACTTTTGCTTCTAGCAGCTCTCATGAGGAGGGTGATGTACAGAAAAAAGCAAGAGAACTCAAGACTGATGGTGCTGTATGTGAAAAAAATTCCATTGCAAAAGCTGGTGCTGCTCTGCCAATTATAAAACTAGACAGAATTGTGACTCAGAATACAAACATTCCAGAAATTGTGACTTCAGAAAATATTTCACAACATTCCTGTAAAAATTTGAAATCCATGAGCACCCCTGGAGACATTGCAGTGGAGAAAGTGGTTTCACATTCCTCAACACTGGTGATGCCAGGTTCAAAAGAAAAGACAGCTGTTTCAGAAAATGCAAATCAAAAAGAAAAGGTATTCACCACTTCTAGTCATCTAAATAATGGCATGAAAGAAATGACTAGCAATAGACCAGGTGAAGGTCCAGAGACTCGGGAGTGTAAGGGTAAAATTGCAGAGACAGTAGTCCCAATTGCTTCTAGCAAAAGTGTATTGTGTGACAGTGTTAGATGTAATTCATCAGCAACCAGAGATTTAAAGAGTATTAAACACGATGAGGAATGCGTCCCTTCCCCTACATTGTCCTCAACTTCGTGTGCCAAAGTGGATTCTCCAAATATTTCCAGTAACGTGGAGTCTGCCCTCTCTGATTTCTTTATGACGCCTCCTTCAAGAAATACTCTCAAGGGAAAGCTAGGTTCCAAGGGCAGGAGGAGAAAATGGCCAAATTATAGATGTGTCATGCACAATTGTGTTAATAAGGGCAAAACTGATGTATGTATGGTAGAAAGTGACATGAATCAAAATAACAAGGATCAAAATGGTGCTGCAGATGGGAATATGAGAAAAGACTCTGGTGAAGATGTGGATGAAAATATGTCGCCCAGTATAGCAATTAAAGTAGCTATTTCAGACCCTGTTATTAAAGCTAGTGAAACAGAGTCCCAGGATGCTAGTGATGACAAAGCCTTCCTCTCTGCAACCAGCTCGGTACAAAAACAAAAGACAGACCAGAAAAATGAACTAGAAAGAAGTGACAATGTACATGCCTCTGGCAGCAGTAAAAAAAGTTCTTTAGATCAGAAGTGTAATGTGTCCCCGCCTTTACTTGATGACACTTTGCCAGTTGATCTCAATACCCTTCATGGCATCCACAGAAGTCGTCACTCTTCTAAGGACAGTGATAGCTCTGAGGTGACATTTAAAACCCCTGGGAAAGTTGAATTCACTAGGGTCACTGAGACAACAGAGAAACCCAAGTTATCAGAAGAAACCTGTAGTGGTAATCCCCCTGCAGAAAATGCTGGTGAAAATGACCTGGAAAATTATACCTTTGGGTCTCCGTTTGAAGCTCCGTGTACAAGCAGTGATGTGGTTACATTTGTCAAACCTTGCTCGGAAATAACAGTTGAAAAAGACAGTGACAGGACTTTTCAGGAACATTCACAGTCTTCAAACAACCAGCATAACAAAAACGGAAAGCCTTCTGAGAAGATTTGGGATGAGGAAATGTACACTCAGATGTCTCCTACATTTCTAACAGCAATGTGCCATTCCGCAGAGACAAGTCAGACACCTAATTTAGTTGGCATTAACGAAAAAAATGACTGTTCTAGTGATAATTCAGATTCCCAAATGAGGAAAAATTTTAGTGACATTAACAAGCAAGCTCCTATCTCTAATCACGGTGCCATTGCCTCTTGCCTCCCCTCAGGCTTACAGGAACATGAAAAACTTATGGGCAGTTCTAACTGTGGAAAGATTACAACTGAAAGCAATGATGACCTGTTTTCTCAGATATCTCCCACCACAACAAATGCCCTTCTCAGGGCCACTGAGACATTTCCAAATCCTCAAGATTTGTCACCAACAGCTTGTAAAGAGTTAGGCTCAAGCCAGGAGGTGCCTTCCAGCGTGCAAGGCGAAAGAGAATTATTTGTTTCATCCAAAGTTAAAACTAGCACACATGTAAAAACTCCAAACAAACCTGAGGTTTTAGAAGATGAGATGTTTGTCCCTGACTCCACTGGAAATGCTGCCTCTAGCAGTGATGCTAAAAATTCATACAATAGTAAGGACAATACAAACACACCATCTATTGGCGAAGAGTTAACGCCAAACAAAGCAACAAGGAGTGATGCTGAAGTTTCATGCAATGCTAGTAAGAATGATGCAAACACGCCATCTATTGGCAGAGAGTTAACACCAGTCATGTCAACAAGAGGAAGCTTGGGCAAAAGCCGTAGTAAGAAATTCTTTTACCCAACATCGAGCCAGATATCCAAAACCAAAGCCAACAAAGTTTATGACTTTCTTAGCAATAAACCACTTGTAGATTCCCCAACCTCAAAATCAGTCTCTGGATCAGAAACCCTGGCAACAGTGGCACTTGAATCAACAGTCTCCATGGCAACAACCCCCAAATCAACAGTATCCATGGCATTGACCTCAGGCACCTTTAAACTTGGTGCAACATCTGCTTGTGAAGTACCATCCTCTGAAACATTTCCAAAGGTTATATCATCAGAGGGGAGAAGTGGTGAAAAGCCAGTAGATGTGGTCTCCAGAATGGAGGAGGAAAAGGAAGCTAAAAGGAAAGGTGCATTGATGGCTATGAGGTCCAGAACAGGTACAATTTCAATTTTTTTCTGCCCAAGACTCGAGAAGTGTTTTGTCTCAAGAAATGTTTTTTTCTCATCATGTGGGAGAAAATGACTAAAATGTTGTTTCAGGATAAACCTGAAAAAGGTGCTATAAAATTATGTGGAAATACTTCGATTTAATTTTTGTTTGTTGAAACCTTTACCTAAAGCTATAGATCATTTTGCATTAGGGTTGTTATATTCAATATATTTATAATTGAACTCCAAATGTATGATAGCTACTGTTACCAATACCTTTTTTCATTTGTAGGCTTTCAGAAATTTTCAAGCATAAGCAAGAATTCCAAATTTACCTGTTTGGGACAACCAGAAGAAGCAGATGCCATCGAAACCACTGTATGTGTGAAGGTGACTACTGAAGAATTAAGAGATGGGACTGGTTAGTAAAATTTGCATGGCAAATCTGCTTTTGCCTTTTACCACATTGAGCACCTAGGCTTCAGGCATGCAAAATGAATTCTGTTATTATAATGATTTTTCTGTAGAACTGTCTTTGTTTTTTTAATTGTTTGTTAGTTTGTTTTTAACTTATAAACATAGGCAGTGTCTACTCAAGTTTGTGTAAATCCACTTGATGTAAATTGAGACTACACAAAATTTCCCTTTTACTATAATTTTGCAATAGCTTAGTATTTTAATAATAATCATTATTATTACAGCTATATTTTAAATTTTACTACAGTTAATCATGAGCAGAATCTACTCAAAGATAGTGAAAATCCATCTCCTGTGAAAATTACTGACTCTGCACAAAACTCCTCCACTCCAGACACATTGCCTGCAGAGAATGTAGAGACAAGCGATTTTTCTGTAGAAGACGCAGAAATGTTGGAGCAGTGTTCAGATAAAAATTTCAATACACAAGAAAAGACTTCCCAAAGACCTGCTGAGGAAGAATTGGAAAAAACAAAAAATGGGGGGCTCTCTGAAATAGCTGGAGTGAGTTTTTAATTTCTTTTAAGGATGTTTTATCATAATTTTATTATGTCAGGGAGCGTGTCCATTCTTTAAGCAGCCATTATGAAATAATTTGAAAACCTTGATATCATTAAATTGAAAAGTAAGTTATTTTTTAAGTGAACAATGACAATTTAAGTAAAAAATGACAATAAAGCATATTTAGATGTGACAACTGGTGTTTACAATCACTGTAAGTTCAAGAATCTATTACATCTTGATTGGCAGTGTTAGATTTGGAATTACAATTTTTTTAATACTTGTGTTTTTTTTAAATTTATTTATTTATTTATTTATTTATTTATTTATTTATTTATTTATTTATTTATTTATTTTTGTAATTTCAAGACTTACCTAAAAGTTTTTTTAATCCACTTATTATTTTATTCATTTTCTGTAAATTCTATTTTTGGTTTCAGTTGAAATCAGTGTTGATATGTGAATAATGCAGAATGCATTTCTTAGCTCTTTTCACTTGATTATCCTTATTCTTATTATTTCAGAAACCTGAAAAGGGTGCTAGTGGGAAAAACATTACTGTCAATGCAAAAAGTCTTGAGATGGCTGCCACTATAATGAAAGAGGTGGATGAAAGAATTAAACAAGAAGAATGCACCATGGGAGACAATTCTTCTTTATCAGCAAAAATCTCTAATTCTGAGGACACAATCCCTGCAGTTGCCATACAAGGAGAAAGTACAAAAAATAAAGAAGTTGTCACTAGTCAAAGTCCACTGGATTCCTTAAAAACTGGCAATATATTCAAAGGTGCTGAAGAAAAGTATGTGCAAAGTGATTTCATTGAAGCAAAATCTAGCAATTTTAAAGGTAGTTTTACTACAGACATTGATGAAAATATCAGTATATTAAACCAGGGACTTACAAAGACCAAGACCATTTTCACTGAAAAAGGTACAGAGACCTTAGTCAAGAGAATCAAGGAAGAACAAGTCTCATTAGCCTGTGACAGTGGCATAAATGAGGCGACTGTTCAGTCAAATGGAAGCCCATGTGAGAGGGCACAGACTGTCTTGTTCTCTTCGGACAGTGGTGCCATCTGTGAGGATGCAGCTACTTCCAAATCTTTTCAGAAAAATTCAGTGAACCAGTTAGCTGGTAAGAAAAACATTCCAACTACTGGTCTTGAGAAAGACAGTGAAGTGTCATTGCCATTCAATGAAAAGAAGAAAGAGTTATCCAGTATATTTACCCATGGGAAGAGCTTAGCAGGGTTTAGTTTAGCTAGCGGAAAGACCATTTCTGTATCCAATAAAGGCCTTGCAAAGGCAGAAGCACTTGTTGCAGAGATTGACAAAGAATTTACACTGCAGAATTTGCTTGAAGACGGTGATAATGGTAATAATGTACCTGTTAATGTAACTGGATTTACATCATTGAATGGACCACAAAGTGCAGTTTCAAACAAAGGTGTAACTGAAGACAAGGCAGATGTTGACAGAAAAGTGACTGCACCAGACAATGGTAATTATTCTAATTTTACTGAAAGAATACCTGGTACAGTGTCGGACAAGGAACTTGCAGAGTCAAAGCTGGTCAGAGGAGATGCTAAGACAGAGGTGGCATTACAAAGGCAGCATGAAAGTGATGTAGATGCTGCTTTAATTACTGATTTTACTGTAGCTGATGGCAAAGCTATTATTCCAGTTTCAGATGATGGAGTCATTCATTCAAAGGCAGTTATGGCCAAGGTAGATGATGAGAACCAATCCACAAAACGGAAAAGTTGTGATGGTGTGCCCAGCTGTGGAGGGTTTACTTCTGCAAATGGCAAAGAGATTAAGATTTCTCATGCAGGATTAGCAAAAGCGAGAACAATCCTATCAGAATTAGATAAAGAAAATGAAATCCCATTTTTACAACAACAAAAGTTTGAATCTTCCACCATGTGTGGTTTCACCTCTGCCAGTGGCAAAAAGATACCGGTTTCAAGCAGCGGACTTGAAAAAGCAAAGGCAATTATGACAAGTATAGACACTGAGATATCAGTGCAACATCAACACAATGTGGCTCAGTTTAATGACATGAATAGTACTGGAGGTTTCACCTCTGCTAGTGGCAAGACTCTGGCAATATCCAGAAAAGGACTAGCAAGGGCCAGAGCTCTAATGTCTGACATTGAGTCAGAGCTGCTGCAGTCAAGTGAAAATGATAAAATTTCTGAAAGAAGCAAAACTGGCAACATTGATTTAAGTGAGAAGCCTTGTCCTCAAGATTCAAAAGTTGAGGCTCAGAATAGTTCAGCTAATTCCAAAAGGCCTTTGGTGTCTGAAAAAATGAATTCTGAGAAAAAAGACTACTCAAATGTTCCCAAAGGATTCAGGCCATTTAAGCCACCAAGGATAATGGCAAAGAAGGTAGAGTCAAGAAATGAAGTAAAAAAAGATGCATGTGGAGTTTCACCTGCCAAGTCAAAGGATACTCAGGATCCCAAACAACTGAGTATAAACTCTCCTGAAAGTGAGCAAGCAAAGAATTCAGCTGGGACAAAAGACCAAAAACAAGTAGGTTCCAAAGGAGAAGAAACATCAGGCTCAAAAAATAACGGAAACTTAACTAGTCAGTTAAAAACTAAGACTACCTCACTAGAATTGGAATGCAATGGTGTTCCACACATTCCAAATACTCGAGATGTTAAACTGGCCATGTCTAAGGAGAATATTTCTCCAGAACTGCCAAAAGGGGGCAGCACATGTGAGGAGTTTGATGACAGCTTTGATGACATCACTGCTACTCAACTGATCTGTTTGTCTATCGTGCAGTTAAAGAATGCAGAAAAGCCAGAATTTTCAGGCATGTCGAATGTCACAGCCAAGGACTTTCATAAGCAGGAAGTTGAAGGCATTGGGCCCATAGAAGAAATCGAAGATACACTCCACTTCAAGACTGATCATGACACAGTTTGTACATCAGTGAGTGAAGACTGGCAATCATTACCAAAAACTGTAGGGTTCCAAACTGCTAGTGGGACCAAAGTGACAGTTTCACAGGATGCACTTAAAAGAGCAAGAGAAATGTGGAAGGATTGCTATGCAGATGATGGAATTGGCAGTTGCCCAGTAAATGTGTCGGAGAATAATCATACGAAAGATGGAGTAGATTCTACAAAACCTGCTGAAAGCAGCACAAAAGTATCATCAGTCAGCAGTGAAGATAAAAATTCTGGTAACAGACAGGAATTGACCAAAGCCAGCATTGAGCAGCAATTTATGGGGTTTCATACTGCAAGTGGTAACAAAGTGGAGGTGTCCAGGAAAGCACTGCTAAAAGCTAAAGATCTGTGGAAAGAATGTCACATGGATACAGACAACGAAAATATGGTAATTAGGAAAGATGCAGCACCAGAGAAGTATGAGAAAGATGTAAAATCTACCTTAGACAAAGTAGTAGACAAGGCAAAGCAAGACATTCAAGTAGATGCAACTTCTGAGCCTTTACAAACAGCAGATCAGATATCTGTTAAAAAGACAGTCCACATGCCAGACAGTTCTCTACAAAAAGATCTCACAGTCCAGCAAAAGTCTAGGGATTCCAATACAAAACCTGAAATGGAGAACGGACCTTCAATTTCATTTGTAGGCTTTCAGACAGCAAGTGGCAAGAAGGTTGAAGTCTCGGACCAAGCCTTGAAACAAGCTAAGAAACTATGGGAACATGATGAATTTGATACAGAAAGCAGTGAAAACATAACTACCAAAGCACTTAAAAAGCCAGGTGAACTTTCTCGGTCTTTCCAAGGTTTTCAGACAGCAAGTGGACACAAAGTGTGTATTTCAGAGTCAGCTTTGAAAAAGGCCAAGGAATTATGGATGCATTTTGAAACACAAGAAAACAGTGCAAGTGTGGGCTCTGAAGTGGATAGTGTAGAAAACAAATCTCAGACCTTACATGGGTTTCATACAGCAAGTGGAAACAGAGTGGAGATTTCAGAGTCATCATTGAAAAAAGCAAGAGAATTGTGGCATGAGGCTGATGCTGATGTGAATGAAACATATTCCAAATATTCCTGTGACACTGAACGTCTTTCAGAAGGGGATGTAAATATTTCCTACACAGCATTAGGAAACAAACAAGATATTGCACAAAGCAAAAATGTTTTCCCTGAGGAAAGGGCCTTTGCTGAAAAGAAAATGCAAGATTCATGTCTGCCGATGTTTCAAACAGCTTCTGGGAGTGCAGTCACAGTCTCAGCTGAGGCTCTCATAAAAGCTAAGAAATTAATGGATGATTGTGATGCTGACAGTGCAGTAGATTCTCAACTAGCTGAAAAGAAAGAGAATAACTCTGCATTGTCCATGTTTTATACTGTCTCCGATAATGGTGTGTCAGTTTCTGACAGGACCATGAACAAAGCAAAGGATTTATTGGAGGATTGTAATGGTGTTGGTAATGTCTCTTCTGAAAAATGGAAGAACAAAAATGGTGGCATGCCAATGTTTCAAACTGCCTCTGGTAATGCTGTTACAGTGTCTGATGATGCCCTCATCAAGGCGAAGAAATTATGGAATGACTGTGAAACAGGTGAAGAGGGCTTCTCTGAGTTAATTGATAAATCGGAGAGGAAAAAAGACAATATTACAAGACCTTTGTTTCAAACAGCCTCTGGTAGGGCAGTTTCTGTTTCTGAAAAAGCTTTAGCTGAAACAAGAAGACTGTGGGATGATAATGGTGACCATGATATAACATCCATTGAGAGGAAAGAAAGGCAAAAACAACTTGTTGATGCTCCAATCTTCCAAACTGCCTCAGGTAATGCTGTCTCAATTTCTGAGGAGGCTCTTGCCAAAGCTAAGACTTTATGGGATGATTTTGTGGTTCCTTGTGATGAAGAAAATGATTTTTCCAAAACATCTTTACCCCAGTGTGATTCTTCATCAGTTCAGCTAAAACAAAAGCCGGATGTCAAGGACAATATCCACAAAGAAAGTCATGGTGGTCATCTATTGGCCCCACAGACCAAAGACACTGACCAGTCACCAGTGGTCAGTACGCCTAAAGAGGCCCAGTTAATGAATGACCATGGTCTTTCACTTGAAGACATGGAGAGCATAAAGGCTCTACTGGCAGATGGTGCGTTTGAGGACATGGGTTCACCATCTGGAAAATTTGACCGCAAGACCAAAGTGGCAGGTGGAGAGTGGCAGCCTCATTCCACTTCCCCAGAAGGTATAACTTAACCATTAGATATTTGTACATTATGAGAAAAAAATTAATACTTAAGGCCTGTCAGGCTATCAGGATTTTCTAAAGCAGAAGCAGAAACTAGTTACTGAATTTTGCAGAATTTTATTGGCATTTTGAGTAGGGCCCATGTTAATGTTACATACTGTTAGAAAAAAATCTCACTTTACAGAAATTTTGAGAAATAAATGGGAGTAGAGTCAGACCTCACTATTTTATAGGAATTACCATTTTCTCATGGCTTTTAAGCGATCCATTTTGTATATATCTTTCTGTGGCTTATAGGTTTCTTCAGTGACAGACCTCAGCCCTCCTCAGTTGGCAGGCTCTCCCCATTGGTGACAGCCCCTCCAAGGGACTCCCTCAGGTAGGATATAAATTGAGCAGTAACAATTTTAATGAGTTTTTATATGATTTTGTGTCATTTTTTTCAGTAACTCAAGTAATAGATAATTGTTTACAAAAGAAAATATGCTCTCACAGGTTTATGTGTCAGTTATTTTTTAAACTATAAAAATACAGAAAACTTTCTTAGATATGATAGTTTATCATACCATTTAATAAGACTGAATTATAAAGAGTACATGCTTTTGAGTGAAAAAAAACAGTGATTTATGAGTGAGTCATGCAGCAAAACAATTTCACATTGCAGGCCAGTAACCCCAGCTGGCCATCTCACCCACTGTAACAGGAAAATGACCAGCAAACATCTGAGCTTTTACAACAAGCCTCCGTCACATACAGCAACAACACCAGTAGCATCATCAGGCTCCTTTGTTACTCCATACAAGCAAGGGGGTCCAGGGGGACACCAGAAGACCTCCACCCCAGCCTTGCTCAATGCCAGTGGCACCTCTGCTTCTCTTCCAACAGGATCTGAAGCCAGTTCACACACACCAACCACTGCTAATACACCCTCTAGTTTTGTGCCTCCATTCAGACCAGGACAAATTAGGATCACTTTGGATTCCCCAAATACTAAAACACCCCAACAGCAGCATGAGATAACCAGGGGAAAGGGTTGTGATATGGATAAGGCTATATCTTCTCACGGCAGTACTACTGGATTGAAAAGACCTATGTCTCCAACATTGCCTGAGAGTGGAGAAAAGAGGCAAAGAATGGCTGATAGTCATGGGAATGAAGGAAAAGGTAATGAAAATGAAGGAAAAGCTTTTTTTCTTTAATTGAATTTTACTGACATTTTTATATAAGTGGATTATATCTACCAGTTAGCATTAAAGCATTAGGATGTACATACACACACATTATGCTTTAAAACTTTCACATCAAGAGTTTAATCAAGTTAACCATGTTTTTTATAAAGGTGGACAATTTAATATTTAACTGCATTATGTCTTACATAATTGGTAGAAACTAAAATTATGGCAAAAGAAGAGAATCCAGCTCTGAGTGCAGCAGCCATCAACAGAGGGAGGCTGAAGCAAGAGCAGCTGAGGAGAATTAAGGACAAGGCCAAGGAGACTATCAGACCAATGAAAGGGCACTTGCTCAGTGTGAAAAGCACTGGGGATAGGGTGTCCCTGCGCCAAGCAGTGAGGGAGGAATTACCTCAGTGGTATCCCAAGCAGAAGGTAATGCTGATTCTGTCTGCACCCTTAACTTTTAAAACACTGGTCACTTGGATAAGTGGGCACCTAAAATTCACTAAATTGGTGATGAAATTAAAAGACAATTAGAAAACATCTTCAGCAACTGCTTAGACATCTAGTAGTTCAGTCGTGCAGACTTATTCTGAAGAACTCCAATTTAATTTTACTAGTTGGATACTAAAGTTCTATTCATCTGTAGTGGTATACACTAGAAAAACTGACTGTACCAGTACACTTTGAGAGATTGACAACTTAATACTTGTTTTAGGTTAGAAAGAACATAGAACTCCTTTTTGCACACGGTTGGCTTTATTTTCAGTTTATTCAAAATTGATGATAAGCCGATAGCCAATAGCCGGTCACTAAAATAAAGATCCATATCAGCAACAACTGTGAATTCAGTATCTGCATCTGTTTCTTCACATACCACCCTGTATTCGTTTGTTACTTCTGAATAATCCAGATATCATTTCTCTAGTCTTTCCACTGCATCCTTTACTTCAAGTCCAACACCAATGGCTTGTTCCAAGGCCTTTGCTCCCACAGTAACAGCTCTTTTAGCGTCACTTCGTTTCTTCTTTTACGTACGTTTTCAGGTCCATGGTTATTACATAAGTGAACTGCTTCTGGTAATCTTGATTGTTTGACCAAAGTTATTGACTGTTTTAGGTTAGAAAGAACATAGAACTCCTTTTTGCACATGGTTGGCTTTATTTTCAGTTTATTCCAAATTGATGATAAGCCGATAGCCGGTCACTAAAATAAAAATAAGAAAAATACAAAATAACATATTCAAAAGTATAACATAAAACAATAATTCTCATAAATTAAAACAAATACACTTACATAATTTGTGAAGTCTATATTTCATAGAAGAGAGTCATGTCCTTCTATCCTTCTCCAGTAAAGTCAGTGTGTGTGTGTGTGTGTGTGTGTGTGTAAACTCAATAGGTATGTGGTCTTTTGTATTTATGCATCACATGAGTGAGTGACCACATTTCACATTTGCTTGACTGAACAGATTTTGTCAATATTGTGTGGAATGCCAGAACAATACTTAATGATGCTGTTAGATAATGATTAGGTAACAGAAATTCTGTGATTTAAATTTTAGAACATGTACATTTAGGTAGATCCTGTCTCATGATACATTTAAATAAGAGTATTTATTTTTGTAATTTCAAAAGTAAAATGGTCTTAATAATTGTTATTGAATCAATTGTTTACTTCTCCTTATCATCTAGTTGTATGGTCTTGGTGTACTGCCCTCCACTTTGAAAGTCTCAGCCTCCAATGCAGAAGAGTTCCACTTCCTGCCCAAGGAGCACTTTTTACCCAGCATATTGAGTAGTGGGGAGGGGTACAAAGTGGGAGATGGAGCCACACTGATACTGGATGACCAGGGCTGTGCTGGCAAAGATGAATTTTACAGGTATAAAGACAGAAGCAATCTCTGGCCGAAGATTTCCGTGGTATTTGACAGATGTCGGAATTTTTTCATATTTATTGTTTTCAATTAACATAGGGCAGGGAAGTGTTATTGACAGAAGAATTCCTCCTTTCGCAGTATTTTATTCTGTCTCATAATATCCTGAATATGATTTTATTTGAGGAGTTTTCCATTGTCAAAATCGCCATTATCTTACTTGTCCTTCAAGCTCCTGAAGTCAAAAAATCTACTGGACCAAAGCAGAAATACTGTTCAAAAACTGAACAGATTTTAATAATGATAACTACTGGCATCATGAAGGGGCCATGCAGTGCTAACATCCCAGACTGGTTTCCTGAGACATAATGGGATATCCGTTGGTTTTCTATTGACCACAGTCACTGTTTTCATTGCAGAGCATTCCTGGACATGCCAGGAGTTGACCCGCGTCTGGTCAGCCAGGACTGGGTGTATAACCACTACCGCTGGATTGTGTGGAAGATGGCCGCCATGGAAGTGGCTTTTCCGCAACAGTTTGGTGGAAGGTATGGCAGTAATGAATTCTGATTAATTTGTCAGATTTTGCAAGTTTCATTGTTCTGTTTTTTTTTTTTTTTCATGCTTACAAAGAAATAGAATTGCTTCAGATATCTTTTCAGATCAGCAATTTTGTCCAAGAAATAGAAATAATTTGTGGTAATCCTTGATATATTTTTTTATTCAAGTTGGGGAAATAATACAGTGATAGCAAAGAAAATCCATTACTTTTTCATATGATAAGTGTTAAGTATTTTTTTTTCTGTATAGAGCTGTTTGTCTTCTTGACAGTCTTTATAAGAATCTTCAAAACAAACCTACAGACATATGCTAAGTATGTACAATATTTTGACTGTCTATTGGGTCATAAAATCAATGATGTACATTTTTGTCATAGATTGCTCTGTTCTTGTGACTTGATGAAATTCAAGCACAAGTTTAATATTATACACTTGAAAATATAATTCAGTAAAATATCAAAATAGACTGTTATATAAAAGTAAAATGTTACAAAAATTGTGTATATTGTACATTAAATATTCAATCTTTTTCAAACACTAAGTCTTATCTCTTTACAGTACTTAAAGCAACACTAAGAATATACTGGACCAAAGGCCTTAAATTACTAGCTACCATGTACATATATTAGTTAGAAAAAAGCTCCTACTGGACATTAGAATGAATTGAGACTATAAAAATGTTAATTCTTACACATGCCTTGATTATTACTTCACTTCAGATTGTAAAGGGGATGAAATAGTGTAGTAATATCATACTAAAAGATGAGTTTTTTGTTAGTCCAGTAATAGAATCAAAGTTATTGATATACAGAGTTACAGGCAATCAAGTTATGATCTGTCATGATGTGTGAAGTCATCATTTAAAGCTGATTCAGAAATAGGTTCACAAGAGACAGTTACTTTAAACTTGACACTGTTTCATATGTATCCCTGCATTTAATGTAGAACTGATTAAAAAAAACTTACATTACATGCTTATAATATAGGTACAGTACATGCTGTATACCTTAGGGCACTTGTTTTGCACTATTTATAAAGCAACTGACTTATAAACAACCTGTTGGAATGTAACTTGATAGTAAGTAGAGATCAATCTGTATATCCTATGTAAAGGTTGCTATTTGTTCCAGGTGCCTGACCCCTCACAGAGTGATGCTACAGCTCAAGTACAGATACGACAGAGAGGTGGATGCCAGTCAAAGGTACCAGGGTGATAAACTTGGCTCTCAATAGCTTATCTAGCACGTATATACCTAATATAAAATGGCCTAGTTATCGCTCGTTAAATACTTGAAAACTTGAGGCCCCTTATGTTATTGTTATTGCCACCTTGTGGAAATATGAACATTTACAGCTGCAGATTTATCGTCCTTCAAAATGCATTAATTTTAATACCCTGAAGTTCATATTTAAACATAGAAAGTTATGAGTGTGGGCTTTTGCTTCTGGCTAAGGCCATTGCTGACATTTTGTTTATGAATAACACTATTAATAGTAAGAAAAGATAACTTTGGAAATTGAGTCAACTTTTAAAAGGCACCTTGAAAGTTTTTAACAAAGTCTAATCTGGAGTGGTCTACAGCAGAACCTCTGTATTGGCTGTCATATGTACTGGAGCCGGCCTATAGATGGAGTCTAACCCCACGATGTTGAGGTTTTCTTTTTTAATCTCCTTCACAATTCTCATCCCCTCTCGGCTGATCTTGGTCCCCATTAAAAGTACTTCCTGGACACTGACATTGACAGCTAAAGCGGCAGCGAGGGTCCGGCAGCCCTGGTTTGATATGTTAATCCTGCTGAGGTCCAAGCGCTGGACAGTGTGGTTGAATTTCAGTGCCTCGCTGAGGGCCTGGATGCCATTGTTGTCTAGCTGGGTGTCAGTCAGAAGTAGCTCTTTTAGAGACTGGTTGACTTTCAGACCCTGCGCCATGGACAGCATGTTCATGCTTTCAAGTTTGGTTCCACAGAGGTTCAGGACCTGGAGTTGCTTGGTGTGCTCGAGTTTGACGCTCATTTCCTCAGCAGAGACGAGGTTGAGGGAGCAGCAGGGGAAGTGGAGCTCCTGGATGGATAAGGGAGTATGGCGGATGATGTTTGAGAGGAGAGGCGCATTGGTCATGTTGACAAATGTCAGCGAAGTGACGTGGGTCATGTTTTGACATGCTGTTTGTAAGTTGGCCCAAACTGAGGCTGAGATCTTGTCATTCTCACTTTGAGACTCCTCTATGCATTTGACTGTCTTAATGCTGGTGTTTCCCCTGAGTGCAGTTGCCAGGAAGTAAGTGGAGGTGCCAGTATCTAAGGATATCAACTTGAGAATGCTGATATTGGCGCTGTCCCTAACAGCCTCGGCTAAAGTCAGCAGAGTTTCTCTGTTGTATGTACAGAAATGGTTCACCTTAATGTCCATCTCGGTCACTTGACAGTCTGGCGACCTGACCACACTGGCCAGGCCGTTAATGGCTGCCGCTGATATTGGCTCGCGTTGGCGCAGCAGGAGTCTTGCTGGGATTGATTTAGCAATGAGGTCTGTGCTGTCCTTTCTCCCCTGACACTCATTGACACACTCTAAGCTGAGGATGAAGTCCAGTACCCTGCCCTCAAGTTTCTTATCCTTTAAAGAATCATCAGCACCATTTTTCACATCAGTTTTCCTGTAGTCACTTGCAGCTTGAGTTTTCAGGTCCACGTGAGTGAAGGCACGTCTTGTGCTTTTGTTAAGGAGAGAGTTCTGCCTCTTCCCTAGACTTTTTCCATTAACAGAGAATGTGATAGCCCTCCATTTTGTTAGATTGTGTTTTGCCATAAGTGAGAACAGATCGTGGAGGATTTTGACTGTGGAGACCTCGTAGCTGTGGCGTTTGAGTCCGCAGTAGAACACGCACACATTGTGGAGGGACTTATCCTTGACCAGCTGTTGAGAGTAGACAAAGAACCTTTCCTGTGTCATATCTGCTAGATATCTGGCTGCCAGGTACTCTTGGAAAGCCTTGTTAGCAAACATGCAGTATTCTGTACTTCTAGGGCGCTTGGATTGGAACTTCACCATAGGACCCAGTTTATAGATGAGGGCATTGATGTAGGTTTTATTGAGCTCATCGCACTTGAAGACTGTCTTCTTACTTAACATGCTCTGGAAGGCTATTTCTTCAAGCTGGCTGATTGTCCTCTTGATTTCTTCGGGGAGTATCCCGCCCGGAACATCCACCCCCTGTCTGGTACAGAACAGCCTCTGTAAGCTCAGCATCAGTTGGTCCATGATGAAAGTCTGGGTTCCAAACTGGAGACTCACTTTGGCTTCAACAGTGCCACACAGGCTGAGAAGGTTGAAGGGACTTTGTGTCAGGGCACAAAGTGCGATTTCATTTTCTGATGCAAGCTTTGACATTAAACCAGCATAGCTTTCAACAGATACTTTGGTTGATTGGGCATATTGCCTAACGAGGTCCTCCTTGGCTTCCACCTTTGTGATCCCCATAATGTGAAGAGCAGTGTCACAATACTTCATCAGTGATTGGACATAGCTTGGTTCAGTTGTCATGACAATATGCACCTTGTCTAAAAGTTTTTGTCCAATCAGATCAGAGAAGACTCTGTTTGAGGAGGTCACATGATCATAGCTATCCAACAGAAAGAGAGTATCTTTCTGATTGGCTACTATCAAAGACCAAAGTTCATCCTTAGTCAGTTTGAAATTGAATGGAATCAGCTGATCAAAGATAGCGTCTTGTAGGCTTTGGTTCTCGGACATCATTCTAAGATCAACCAGAAAGAGAAGCTGAAAGTTTTTGGGGAAGTATCCATGGTTCTTTGCCCAGGAGTAAGCCATATGTTTCAGAGCAGTGGACTTTCCATACCCACTAAGACCTGATAGAAGAACCCTTCCTGGAGCCTCACATTTTGGGTGAGGGTCAAAGATCTCATTGTTGGGCAGCACCCTCCTGAATAGAAAGTTATAGAAATATATATATATATAATACAAGTGTAGATCTTGTGTATAATTTTAAGCCGACAATTGAGATGAGATTACATGCAGAAGGGACATATATTACTACTTGTGTGCGATTATCCAATCCATGTTTGAAGGTTTTTTTTTCTTTATGAAATTTAGAACTAAGAAATTTGCATAAAAATTTGTAATCAGATGAATGAAGGCACAAATGAATGAATAGAAAAATTGTTTCATCAGTGATAAGATAGGTAATATATTTGTCAATAAGTGAAGTATATCCCTACCCTTGTGAGTCTGTCAGCTCTAGGGGTACTGTGAATTCATGCAGATCCACTTGCACTGATTCGTGCCATGTTGCTGGTCTCCAGCGGCTGTACTGGGATTTGTAGACATTGCTGAGAACTCCTCTACAGTACTCTAGGACATCTGAAGTTAGGATAAATGATAATAATTACTATAATTGTTATTATAATTGACAAACTGGATTTTTGTTGACATGTTACATTATGAAAAAATCATTTTTTATTATTTTGATGAATCAGTGTCATAAAACCAGTCAATTAAATATTTTATGTATGAAGCGGAACTACATTGACTTTATGTATTCCACATGCATCTAAAGTATTGATTTGTCAGTTTTGACATTTGAATAAGAAATTAAACCAATCCAACTCTTTGCCCTTGCCTAATGTTTGGCCCAATATCTATGACCTAGAACTAGTGCCGTAGAAATTTGTTTAACAAAAAAGCAGTCAATTTCCTCATCCTACGTGCCTGAATTAATCCAAAATCCCTAGTACAAGCAATTCCTAATCCCATGGGTGCATATAACATCCAGTTCTTTTAAAGGACAAGCCAACAGATTACTTGTAATATGTTAGCATAGGAATAAGATTTGGTTTGATAACATTATACTCCACTTGTTTGAGAACTATGTGGTCTTATGATGGTGGAAGGGATTTCTCTTATTTAAAGGACATGGCAATTAATAAGGCTTTACTTTCTGCTGTTTGTCAATAGTGTAACTGATAGTTTCAGGTCTTTGAGATTTTCAGATCTGTCTATTGAAATGAGTATTTTAGGTTTTTATGAGATGGGGTGTGTTAACTACTGGCTATTCTTTCTTTCTATGTATACTTTCTAGTATTTTTCGTATAGAATTATTTATTTGTAGATGAGCATTTAAATGATAATTTTGAAACAAGTCATGAAGGTAATTAATAAAAATAATTAGCAATAGATATTGGTTATCTTTCTCCAAAAGTGTCAGCTAGTAAACCGCTGTTACTGTATGAAAATGATTAATCTTGAGAAAATAAGATGAGATATTAGAAAATGTTAGCCATACCATACCATATCATATCATAACATACCAATGTCACTTACCAAAGTTATTTGTAATGGCCTCTCTATACATGGCGGCCCTAGCCTGAGACATCTGCTCATGAATCTCGGGATACTTGAAGCGAATTGCGTCACAAAAAGCCATATATGCATGGGAGGCCCTGCGAGGAAGGATGTCCAGCAGTTCCCGCATTTTCTCTGTGTTTCTTTTCTGGGTGTTTATGTTTTCCTTGTCCACAGTGGTGAGGACCCTGTCTTCTACCAGTCGAGCCAGAACGTCATCTGCTTGAATGTTGTCCACCAACGTTTTGTAGAATTTGAGGAGGATGTTTCTTTCTTCTTGTGACATGCCTGCAAGTTGAATGATATGAAAGTAAAAGTTTATATTGAATATGAATTTGATGGACTGAAATAAATTATGTTTAAATTAACTTCCACCCCCGCCCCCCAAAAACAGAAAAATATTAGACAAAAAAGGCACCAATTATGCTTATTACAGTTTGGAATAAATAGGAAATTTCCATGTGATAAAACCTCTTTCAACCTACCTGATGAATCTGGATCATTGAACAAAGTTGCTTTTTTCTTTCCTCTCTTCCCGCCTTTCTCTTTACTGTTCACAGCAGGTAATCTCTGACGTGGTGAAGCCAGTGAGAGCGGCTTGTTCCTTGATTGTTGAATCTCTCTCTCTATAGCCTCAACATTACTGCTGGCTTGGTGCCAAGATTTCAAAACATTTCTATAATGCTGTTGCATCTCACCGTCCATGGCTTCGCGCTGCATTCTCTTGATGCGAACATTACATATTGGTCCCCCCATGCGTAACAATACCTCCGTGATATGTGACCAGTAGCCATTGAAGTCTTTCTCGGGAAGGGAATCCAGCGAGACCAGCTGCCGTCTGTACCACTGTACTCTCGCAACATCTGCAGAGATCCCTTTATCACTCTGCAGGGGACAGCTGTCCCAACCATTTGGGTAAGGTGGCGCCAAGTGACAGATGTGACGCAGGAGAATGTACAGGAGAGTAGGGCCGTAGTTCTCAGAATTGGCATTTTTCTTCCTCCTTGGGTATAATTTCCCCCATTGTGCCTCGCTAATTAGTCCCCTGGATTTCAGTCCACGCAGGGTCTTGTGAACCTCCCCTTTTGCAAGGTGCTCGTGTAAAGTAATTGGAGGGTGGATACTGTCAAAAAGCTCCTTCATTGAAAGGGTTCCACCTTCTACAAGAAGTCGACTGAGATTTGACAGGTTAACCTTTGACATTTCCTCTTCTGAGGATATTTGCGTTTGAGTGACATCATTTTCGGTTGCCATGGTTGGTGGAGATGGTTTTAAATAAAAATGTCAGACTGAAAATGAAAATTTTAAATTAGAAGATTTTGAAATGACAATTATTGTCCATGGAATCCAAAATAATGAGATTGATAAATTGTTTTATTTTGAACAGTGACATTCATATTACCAGGTATGCTGGAAGCCTTTTCTGATTCAGTTTGGAAAAATATTTATTAAAGCTTTGAGAAATTTAATTTGCTGTTGTGTTACAATCACAGCCAATTTGAAACCAAAAGGTGTTTTTTTAAATTTTTCACTTCCCTTTTCTCTCACAAACGAACCTAGCTCACTAAACATTTAATGTACTTAACGTGTAAGCTATATGATGATGTTGTAGAGAAAGCTGAGAGCAGCTTGCGTTCTGCCCTTTACTGTTGACATTATAGCAGCAAACATTGCTGCAGAATAAAAACTGGTTTAAAAAACTAGAGATGTCACTGAGTTCAGTGTTAAGTGTGGCCTACAGATGAAACTTGACTAAAAGGTTTTTCTAGTTATTTCAAAACTGAGACAAAACTTTGAGGCTTTACTTTTATTGAAAAATTAAAATAATGTGATAAAAAGAAGAAAATATATTTTAAAAAATAAATAAGATAAAAACAATTAAAAGTGTCTGTGGAAATTAAAGGCTTAAAAACTCCAATGTCAATCTTGGTCACAGAATTTGTTAACACATCCCATTCAAAAGTTGAAAAACATGATGAAAATATTTCTAACAGAAGAAAATCAAGACACAAACTTTAATAACAAACTTACCTACTACTCAACTGGTTTAACAGATCATCTCAGTGGTAATCAGTTCACAGTCTTTCCACATGGAATGAATGGCCCATACGTAGCACCAGTTACATTTAACAACTAGCATCCAGTCACCCTGTTTTCCCCCAACCTGCTAGAGTTGTTTCTTGGTTACCGATTGCTACCCGCTGCCTGTCAGTCTTCATTTGTATTCAGCCTGGCGCTGTTAATCTCTCAGTTCACCCGATGGTTGACCCTTGCTGTTTGACAGGCATCGCTGACAGGGGTCTTAATCTTCAAAGTGACGGATTCATTATTGATTAGATAAGCAGGCGGTCTTAAAGGTGTTTAGACTCTTGAGTATTACGCTGATAATCACCAAGCAAAGAGTGATTGGTTACAGTATGCAGTGGATGTTGGTGGTGTTTTAGCGCCAATTTTGTGTTTTGTGGATGTTTGTTGTAAATTATGGGACATTTTAATGAATTTGGGAATGGAATTTAATAATTATCTTCGCAAAAGGAGATTGTGATATTTGCCAAGAGTGATTTATTATTTTTTTTAATAAAATATTATATAATAGTGGATGCCCTCCATTGTTGACTATTTTATGACCATTAATTTTACCTTTTAAAGAGATCAATTTTAATATTTTCTCTGGGGCAAAAAAAGATGAAATTTTTTCTGTGTGAAAATTCTTGAAATCTTATACCATCTCCATAGTGTAAACTGTCTAGTTGGTTTGTCTTTTTCTGCTTGCCTCCTGCATTCAAACACCTACTGATAAGTCTGTTCACAGTACAGTTACATGGTGTAGAACCCATTACATGTGGCTTATGCTTCAGAATGACAAAACAACAAATCTGGACGTTATAGTTCATTCAGGCTTGCAGTGTCATGGGTTATTTTAGTTGATAGTTTTTACAATAATTATTTGTTTTAAAAGGAGGTATTTGTTGAAAGTTTGAATCTTATTAAATAAATAGATATTGTGATGTAATTGTGTACCCTGTGTATTTTTTTATTTTTTTATTTATTTATTTTTTTGTTATCTTGAGAATGGCATTTTATATTAAACTAATCTAATTAAATCAAGGCTCATGCATTTGATGTAGATTATTCACTGTGAGAACATGTTGACAGTTCTGACATTTTGATATAAAATTCAAGGCTAACCAGACTGGTGAGCTCAGTGTTGATGTAGTGAGTGCCCTACTACTGGCAGGTCCCTGTAGCCTCTGCCTTTGATGCTAAACACACTTGTTTACTTTGTTAGGGGAGAAATTTACTCTTCAGCTTTGGAAGCTTTCTTCCATGGAGAAATTCTGTATCCACTTCATCTGATGCATAATGTATAATCTGCTTTACAGTGAAGCAAACTTAAGCTGTGGTTTGTTTTGATTACTTAATTCTTTAAATTTTGGCTGCCAGGCATATACAGGAACACAAATAAAATAAAAGTATGTTTTCAAGCTAGATCCAGCCCTACAATGAGCAGAATCTTTGAAATTATTTCCTAAAAATGATATGAATAAAATAAATTAATACATTTCAATAAAATGTTTGGTATTATTGATATGTTCAATAACTACCAGATATTGAATCATGCTTTTTTGTCTCATTTAACATAGACTTATTGATCAAAACGGATGACATAATTTTTTTCAGATCTGCAGTGAAGAAAATAACTGAAAGAGATGACACTCCTGCCAAAACTATGATACTGTGTGTGAGCAGAGTTCTTACAAACAAAAGTATAGAGACAGGGGGACAAACTCATAGTAGAGGCAAGGAGGGAGAGAAAGAGGCACCAAAAATGGCAGTGGAAAATGTATGATATTGCATTGCCCTCAGTGTTTTACTTTTTCATATGTGTAATTTAACATGTTAAGGTTTATATTAAGCTTGTTTTTGAAGTCTTATTTAAAATCTTTCAAATCTAGTCTACTACTTATCAAATTCCACCGCAAATTTAATGTTATTGCACAATCCAATTGCTTTGAGGTCGAAGAAATACAAGCAAATATTTATGTATTGATAATCATTGTCATTCACCTCTATATTTATCCCCCTCTAAGGCCACAGTAGAGCTGACAGATGGTTGGTATCCCATCAGAGCCCAGCTGGACCCTGCCCTGACCAAACTCCTCAGGTCTGGCAAGCTGAGAGTGGGTCAGAAACTCTGTGTATGTGGGGCAGAACTGGTGGGTTCCCAGGATGCCTGCTTGCCATTAGAGGTGGGTTAAAACCCTTATTTATTTGAGTAATAAGCATTTTATGCCAAAATATTTTTTGTGCTATTACTTAGATAATGTGTTATCTTTGTACTCACATCTTTTAATTTACATATTGCTATTATCATGAAGAAATGCAGCTAACTTTGTGTGACACTATGATTTTGTCTATTCATTTACTGCAATTTTATTAGGAAAAGCAAAAGTGAAAGAAGTGGGTAAACGTACATTGTAATATGATCCTCTCAACATGACACCAAAAAGGCAATTAGTTTTCTAGTTCAATGTCTTGCATATGGGTTAATTCATTTTGTCAGTGTTTTATATGTTCTTCTTTATGTTACCAGGCACCAACAGATCTTCTACTTAAAGTCAGTGGGAATTCCACCAGGCCTGCTAGATGGGATGCCATACTTGGCTTCCACAGGTCCCCCCACCCCTTCCCTGTGCCCCTGGGGTCTCTGTTCCCAGATGGGGGGATGGTGGGGTGTGTGGATGTCGTGGTAACCAGGGTGTACCCTATACAGGTGGGTGTGAGATGTGTGTGTTTATTTGTGTGTGTCAGTGTGTGTGTGTGTGTGCGTGCATGTAAAAGACAGATGGTGCTTTGAGATATTTTTTTTTTATTTAAAAGTTTTCACTTATCTGTTGTCCTAAGCAAGTATAAAATTTCAGGGATCCTCCAAATTTTATTATCCTCATTATAATATTGAACTTTCTTTCTGATTTTATTTAGTATATGGAGAAGTTACCAAATGGCTCCAATGTGTTCCGCTGTGGTCGGATGGAAGAACGAGAATCAAAAAAGTTTGAACAAACACGGCAAGAGAGAATGGAGAGACTGTTGGCTAGAATTCAAGCAGACGTTGAACTAAAGAGTTCTGATAAGAGTGAGTTATTCTCCATTTTATTGCACTAAAGATTTCTTAAAAGGAATATTTAAACTCAAAAACATTTTTTTCAAAATTCATTTATCCAGCCTTTAAAATAACAAACATTTTTTGCCCTGCATTCTGACTTTTAAAAAGGTCAAAGTTCATTGAGCCTCAAGGCAGTTACTGTGATATTGGAATGTGTTAGGTGTGAATGCATTCACACTCCTGATTGTGCTCAATCTCAACATGTTTGCTGCAGGCACAAAAAGGAAGAGGAGGTCAGTGAAGTTGACCCATGTCCAGATCAGCAATCTGACCACTGGCAAAGAGATCTATGATGCCATTCAGAACGCACCTGACCCCACTTCTATAGAGGTACTTTGTAGACAGGGTTTCTATCAGTGTAAAACATGGCCCTATCATAATGTTCTAAAATGACTAGTTCACTATCTATGAAAAAGACAAATAAAACAAAACTTGAAATGAAACCTGAAATTAATGTGGCGCCATCTTTGCAATTATGGTGAAGTTTTTCTTAGCTGACTCTCAATAACTTCAAAGCATTATCAGGCCATTTTGGCTTCTCAAGTGAAAAGATGTTTAGTTCGCCACAGTCTTACAATCTAAAGTGTTTGTCCGTCGAAAATAAGAATTGTGAAAACAAATAAATATTTTGCTTTTATTAATTTATCCTTTTGTCCCTTCCAAAAATGTGTTTCCACTTACTTTATTTCTATTCCTTTTAGATGGAGTTAAGTGAGGCTCAGATCTGTGCCCTGAATGAGCATAGATGTAGACTACAGATGGATCAGCAAGCAGAGGTACAGGCACAGGTCAGGAAGGCTTTACAGGACACGGAGAACGAGGTACACGGGAGAGATGGTGTGTGTGCATACTTGCCTGAGTGTGTGTGTGTGCTCACACGCTTGTATATTTATAGGAAGGAGTCTGCACTGAAAAATACTAAATTCATACATACTGTAGCATTTTTTTTTTTTTTTTTTTTGAATAGGTAAAATATTCACATTTAAGGCCTTCATGATGATTTTATATTTGACTTGTACTGTTCCATTTTAGAATCATTTTAAGGTTTTTCATTTGACTACACTTTAATGTACCACCTTATAGTTGTTAATTTTTTTTTTACTTTTTCTCAAGCTCATTGTAAAAAAAAGACTTTTTGTTGACTTTTTTCTGCTATATTTTTGATATTATCATTAATTGATATTAATTTGTATTTGAACAGCAGTCCAGTATGAGAAATGTGACACCACTGTTGAAGGTGAGAGTAGCTGGCTGCAGTAACTCTGATGTGGATGCTGGGATGAGTAAGTTTATTTTACAGAATACTTTAAGATGTTTGGAGTTCTTTTTTGAAGTAAAAGGATTTTTGGAACTTGACTTTTGTGCCATGACATGCACATCTAAAAAACTGTTGTGATGATTAGAAAAATAACTAATGCCCGTGTGAATCCAAACAAATAAAACTCAGAGAAAGAAGCTAAGTTGGAATTGAAGTTAACTGTGTAAAGTACATGTTGTGAAAAACATTATTTAACCATGGTCTTCTGCCTAGTTTATTTCTGATATTTCGAAATATCTGAAATGTCTACAGATACATTCCTAACAGTATGGAGGCCAAGTGATGAAGTCATTCAGATGCTGCAGGAAGGAAAAAGGCTCAAAATATATAATCTCTCCGCCTCTGGTGCAAGGTAATGATATAACCCACCATTGTAGTCTTCTTTTGCTGTCTTGTACAGCGTAGTCTAAATTCATGTTTGTGTGTCATATCATATTTTCACATACTATAAACATATACCTTCATCGACCTGTGTTTGTGCCTCACCTGCTGTGTGGCTACTCACCTAGATGATTTTTTTAGAAATTCCACTCAGACTTTACCAAATTGATTGTCAATATGAGTTTACAGTATGATTTAATTTCATTGTTTTTATAAATAGATTTGAATATATTTATTCAATATATTTGTATTTATCAATCATTATCTTAAAGTTTATTTTGATACCAAAAAATCTTTTTTGCCTTAAGCATTTTTTTCTTATATTCTCATGTAGGGTTAAGAACTGTCCATGTGAAGTACAGTTGTCTGCATGCAGAGGTACAAAATATATGGAGAGTCAGATTGAGGAGAACTTCAAAGACCTTATTTTTGAACCCAGAGAGGTAAGAGATATTTGTAGTTACATTTAGAGGCTCAACTGTTGTGGGATGTCTTAGTTGATTTTTAAAAAATTCAATGGCAATTTTTGGTTAAAAAAGAAGTTGAATTAACGTTTATTAAAAATTAGTTACTTGTGATTGGGATTTTTATAATTAAAATGAGTAATTTTTTTAATGTAAGATATTGATTTTTATATATATTCTCTCTAGGTATATGAATTCAGTGAGCTGTGTAGTCATTCAGTAAGGCCAGCCTACAGTGAAGTAGATGTGGTGGGCTTTGTAGTACATGTCACAGACAGTGGAGACACCTATAGGTGAACCAGAAAGATACATCTGCAGTCGAAGTGAATTATGTTAATTCAGATTGCATTGTATACAGTGACAAAAAATAAATGAAACCATTTTCCAAATTTTTTAAAGATCATAAATTACAGTGTAAACAAAGTTAAAATTTTGTTCCCAACACATGATCATGAAGTCAACTTTTCAATCAATTGATTGCAATAAATTTCCATTATAATTGCCAGCGCTTGTTCCAGATCTGGTGGTTGTATGCAGACCGTTTACTTTGTGGACAACACTGAAGAATTCCTGGAGGTAAAGTTTTGGGGAGGATTGAAGGTAAGACTTGATAGGATAACATGGGTGAACGTTTTTTGGATTATGCCCAATTGCAGGATTTTCAGTCTTTAATTTGATGTTTGTTTTTTTTTTAATATAATGATCTAAGTGCAATGATTTTCAGTTTTTACAACTTCTGCCAATGTAATAATGATTATTATATTTGGACAAGCATTGTGAATTATATATTTGTCAGTAAACCTTAAACACTATAAAAGAAGGAATAAAAGCCAGTACAGGTTGCATCGTAGTAACAGTGTGATGTCCAAATTGATGATTTTAAATATATAAATGTTTCTAGGCTCTTGGAGTGGATGACCTGTTGACCAAGGGCACTCTAGTAGCGGTCACTAACCTGCAGTGGAGGGGGGAGAGCAGGTCCAGTGTCCCCTGTTATTTTGCCAGTGAGATGTGCCACTTCACCACCAGACCTAAGGATGAACACTTGAAGAGTGCTGTAGAGAAGCTGCAGTCAGTTATATCTGTGAGTGTTAATTTTAGAAGCCTGCCCATTTGGGAAAATAGGTTTAGCCCAAAAGATTAACAGGATTAAAAATGACATCATGAAAAGCCTGACTAGTATATCTGTGAGTGTCAAGGTTTTAGAACAAATCCCATTTAAAAGAGAGTTTTTGAACAGCACCTTTTTGATCTTGAGTTAGATATCAAAAACATAAGCTAACGTTTATGGTGCTATCCCATTGTCATTGATATGTATTTTGAGTCTATAGATTAAATGCATATGGTTTCAAACAGCAATTTCACCATCTGCAAAAGTCCCACTAACTTAAATTTAAGTTGATGACATTAAGTGGGTATTCTCCTATACACGTTATTGTTCACAAGAGTTTAGTACTATTATATTTTATCCCCATGTTTTTATTGTAATCACAGTGCTGAGTCATTGTAATGGATGCTATACAAAACCACCTCTGTAATCTTTACTTTGGCACTGAAATTGACTGCAGTCCACATAAAGTTGATTTCTTCATTACATGCTGTGGACATGGCATAAATATTTTTAACTTATTGAAATAATGTTTCAATTTTAGTCACCAAAGCAGTTCATTAACGAGATGGAGAAGAAGTTGAGGACCATTGTATTTGGACAGCCTGTCCAGCAGAATGATGATATATCAGTGTCCAGTAAAAGCTCAAACTCTGTTGTCAAGGTATGTGGAGGGCAGCCTGGGCATAAAAGATTTTGTCCATATTTTACTGTAGAATTTGTATGACATGTGAATTTGTCTTAACTGATTGACATGAATGATAGCAAAGTTATAGCAGTTACAGATGTCATAAAGCATGAATTTTGTATACGGTACAATGCTCTTTTTTTTTTTCAGATCCCATCCAGACCAAGGACCCCTGTAACCACATTTACACCAGTGAGACCATCTCCAGTACCAAAAACGTTACCATATTCTAAAACTGATTCTTCCACACCAAATTCAAGGTTCAGTCTTGACATGAAAAATACCCTCATGCAAGAAAGCTCTGAAGAGCAAGCAGACGATCCCCGCACAGCTCTTCAGCGCATGAAGGCAAGAAAGTTGGAACAGTATGGAGAACCCCCTCCAGTGTGTCCACTGCCTGTTTCTGTTCCCTCAGCTCTGAAGCGAGGGTTTAGGGCCCCTGGTCTTAGAAGCAGTAGTCCAAGAAATCTACCTTTCATTTCAAGAACCTCAAGTAATGAGCAAATAAACATTGATGACAATAAAGTGAAAGAAAATACAGCCCCTGAAATTACCAACATGAAAAGAAAGGAATTTGACAATGTGGAAAGCCAAAGGAATGAGAATTGCCAAGAAGATGAAGAGGTCCTTGAAAGCTCGGTGAAAAATACTCCAAACCATAAAGGTGTTAGAGCAGAAGTGTCACATATGGACCACATTCAAATTTCACAAGGATCCCCAAAGAATGGTCCAAAGGATGGAAATGAGAAGAACCTTCAGACTGGTCACTGCAATACTGACATATGTGACAAAGATGGTCAAGACTGTAAACAAAATGAATTTGAGAAAGAAGACAAAAAATTGTGTGAAGGACACTCCGCAGTCCCTAACATTGACTTAAAATCTCAACAAATTTCAGATAAACCACAGAGCAATTCTTCATCTCAGGATTCTCAGATAACTAACCAAAGTTCCCAGCTAAGTCAACAGTCACCTAAGACTGCTTCAGGGAAAGCTAAGACGTCTAAGAGAAGACGGACAGCCACCCTGGAGACGATAGACTTTGACCAACTGATTTCTGTTCACGAGGGGGAAGGGATAGCGGAGAGGTGCAAAAAGCGACGTAGATCTACAAGATTATAAGGATCGATTGTTTTAAGATACAGGGTATATCTATTTGTTATATATTAATATAGTGCCAGCTTGGAAAATTATTATAAGGTGCTTTCAAAACGAAAAACGCATTGTTTGAAAAAGAAGAATGGATGAAAAATGTATAGACTTAAAATTTAGATCAAAATGGAAAGGTATGTCATTATAAACAGTCCTGGAGTTATAAAGTGGTTCCATCTTATATTGTCAGGTGCGTAATTGTAACGATGTTGATTTGACGGGAAATTATTCAATATACTGTGCAATGACAAACTTAAATTGGTAAAAAGGATATCAACGCACTTGTGTTGTATTTGCTTGTAATTATTATCAAGCTTGGAGATAATTATGCAACTTGTCAGCATATAATTTTTTTTTAAATTATTTAAATTGTTCCTTAAATAATTCTCGTGTCCTTAAGTTGGCTTCTAGATAAAATTCAATTTTTAACATGTTCTGATGGTCCCCGACTGTTAATTGAACACTCATAAAGTTACGTTTTAAATTTCTCTTTAGCAGTTGTCATTAGAGTTTTACTCTACAATGTGCATTTTTACACTCTGTGTAGTAAAGCGTTTTACGTCCAAATTTAATACCTCTTCTCTGTATTTTTTGACCGTGTAGGTGTGCTTGTACGGATCGAAATTCCAAAACAGTAAGCATCTAAACTATTGTAAAATGTGTTCGAGGGATGGGGGTAATTTTTAAAGAAGGTTCGTGGCGCCAAATGATGATTCGATGAAAAATTGGTTCTTGAAGGCGTAAACTCTCTAAATAGTCTACATTTGCCTGTATCGGGAAATCAAATTAAATTTGATTGCAATCAATTTCCATTATTGCCATCGGCTGTTCCAGACCTGGGGGATATCCAGACTGTGTACTAGATAGACAACACTTAACTATTACTGGAGGTGAGGTTTTGAGGAGGGTTAAAGATAAGACTTGATGCTGCAATTCGGGTGAAAGTTTTCAGAATGATGCCTAATTTCAGGATTTCCTGTCTTCATCTTGATTCCTTTTTATATGGTCTATGAGAAATTATGACTGAAATACGACTGGCGCCTCGAGTATTCTGTACAGTCGAGTGTAGAATACTACATGGAGTATCTTCTTCGGTACATAAATATTGTATCCGACACCCCGGTGAGCAACAAATTAAATTACACGCCGGACATTCTATAGCCAGAAGAATTAAAGACCTATATTACACCATAATAGGGTATTTTCGCTTTAAGTCTGTCTTTCTGTGTCCAGCGCGTCCAGTGTGGTGTTAAGTGACCCACGGTGCTATTGTAGTCGATGAAATGGTTGACGGGAAGAGCGGACATTCTCGTCCCATTTTGTGACTTTATTGGAACTTTATTTGACACAGGGCGCCTTCCATATGGATGTATTGTTATTGCATGATGTCTAAAGATTTCAACCCTCAGCGGTGTCATACAAAACCCACTTGTTGCTGCAGTTAGGGTATTACCGAAGACGCAGGGTGCGAGAGCGTGTTAAAGCGCGACGCACACTGTGGCTGAGCAACGGTGCAAACTAGTGATCACGTTGAGAGATGACAACTCACACCTCCTCACCTGTCATCTGATAATTTTTTATTTGTGTATTATTTTCTTTTTACTTTTTTCCCCTCAGCGGATGCGCGGGGAAGCTACATCTATCTTGCGTTTCAGGTCTTGCACACCGCTCTGGTGGATCAAACCTCTCCAATCCGTTAGCTCAGCCAATGAGTGCAGTGTGTGTCGGGCTTAAGGTTCTCATAATATGCTCCCCGATTATTGACTCGCGGATATCAATTTACCGGGACCTTCGTTATGAGTGGAAATGGCACCCACTACAATATGGTCATTAAACATGGGAGGCCACTTAACATAATAATAGATATGTTCATGGGGTTACATTAGAGTTAATTTAAACATTCCCCGGTCATTAGATTGGCCCTGGTCCCACCGGGAGAAAACTACCGACATCGACATGTAATGGGGTGTATAATGCAGAGGTAGGCACTAGTGCACGAAGATCTACTAGATGATTATCACGGGAGAAGACTGGATTTGGCATATACATGATATAACGTAATGTTTAACAAACATTCTATCGTGATAGTCTAAGCGATTAACGTAAGCGTAACACAATTTGAATGATATAAGAAAACTGATACTTCTTTATGGTCTGAAATAATATGTTATACAAACGTAGTCTCGGCGCCGAATGCTGCACAAAAGTTAATTACCCCCTAGCAACTTCAGAGGGCGTGACAGACATTTAAGCCGCTTAAACTGAATGCAGTTTAACGAGAATCCCCTCGGAGTTAGAGCGATCCTGCTAGTACGACAGGTTTATGTGAACCCAGCCTCAGACTGTTAAAAATGACAATTTATCAGGCAAAGACCTACCCCAATATAATAGTTTAAACTTTCATAAGCTGATCCCTAGTGTCTAAAACTCATATTAGAATTTCACCAACTAGAAATTTATACATTTTAACGAGAGCCAGGAGTAATAGGCCTATATCGAAAGAAACCAGTTATTTTGGTCGGAAAGTTTATATCTACTTGTTAAGTGACCACTCCTACTTGTATAGTTCTATTTAAGACCATCATTAATTTAGACGTGACTGTCAGTTATAAAGGTTATTCGGGACATTATGCTATTGCGCAAAAGATGCAGATGTCAGTGAGCAATTTGCAAAACAAAAACGTTTACATATGTTGAGTCATGATTAAATACATTTCAAAATGTTTGATAACCTGTTGTACGAAATACAAGCTTTTTTTCAGAATACAGAAAAAACAAAGAAATCATCTGTATTTTCTCTCAAGGATGTCTATGTCAGAGAGAGCAACCAAGTCCGGTAAACGAGTCCCGTATTCCCACCTCCCCCTCCCCCTCCACATGCAGTCCCAACATACCCTATAGTTCTTCATATCGTTTCAGTGATTAAAAAATATTGCAAAAAGCGTTTTGGCTGCAAAATGCATGTTCGCGTTTTTCTCTGGTTTTAAAATGCGGCGCAGTTACAAATAAACGTCTCTGCTAACAGTAGTATCGCCGTGTCATGCAACCGACCGCACTTTGCAGAATACGTTTGGTTGCAAAATGTAGCGCTGTGTTGTCCGATGCGCCGCGACACGCGATTTAAACTGAATTCATATTGCCTGTCTTCACACGTGGACTTTTAGAACGGACGAGAAGCCTACCAAATGTGTGACTAAGACAAACGTTAAGTTGATTGCACTTCATCAAGCAGATAGAAACGTACAAATTGAATAACGGAGGCCATAGCCAAGTTGACAGCTGAGCTTAATGTAGCACGTTTGTAAGTGACATGTTTGTGGAAAAGTAAATTTGAGTCGCATCAAATGCCTTTGAATGTCCAGACATGGCGTCTTGAGCGGGTAACATTCGGGACAGGCCCCTGCTTGTGTGAACACATATACGTCCAAGTTATAACATTATGTAAAGCAACCTGCAACATACGAGAAACAAGGGCGCAACGTTTGTGAATGCTTGCGATCCATCATGTCTCCGTGATAGTTGATATTATCTCAGTCCTGGCGTTCTAGGCCCACATTGTCTCATGTCATCTCCAATGCACATTACAGATGGCCCTCTTTACCTGCTCAGATGCGAGTCCCGATAAGACGGCAAACGAGAGTGGCTGGCTGAAATAATGGTAGCAGAAAAACACCCCCATAGAATTCTGTTTTCCATTCTAGGTCAACGTGACTCTTAATGTCCTCACGATAAGGACGGTTAAGAACAGGGATTGAAATTAATACTGATAAAGAGCAAGTTGTCAAGAGACACGGAAACCTCCAGAAACCAACCCACAGGTAAAGTGCACTGAATTAACGGACGCAGGAACACACCTGTAATCAACAGACGACATCACAGGTGACTGATAGGCACGACAAGCTGGACGACCTACACAATCAGCCATCGCCAACAGTTGTAAAAAATTATACTCCTCTATCGTCTGTACTTTCTTTGCGATACGGAATATATTTGCTCTGAAATCATGACACAGGCGTGATATCAAATGTTGGATTTTAATGGACACTAGGACAATAGCGGCTGACAGGATTTAACCGCGTTAGTACAGGGGTGAGAATTTGGTTAAAGAGAAGATACATAAATGATGATGAACAGCGAGCAAGAAGAAGAAGTATGGATCTTCGGACGCCTTGTAAGGCGGAATGGTGTAAACACAGGTAAGTTGAATCAAAACAAAGTTCTTTTTAATTAGGTGTCAGCAGTTGAATTCAAGACTGCTGCGGTCAGGAGAAAATGTGGGATACTATTAGTATGTTTACGATAAATACCGTACCACGTTGCCATGCATCATCCATTGTGGTAATAGAAGTATGTACATCTTTTTCTGTCCTGTATTTCTTTTTAAAAATAACATCATACATGTACATGTAACATCTGAAGAAAGTGGGACTTTTATTATTGAAGTAATTTTTTAAAACAGTGAAAGAACGTTATTGAAAGACTGGAACATGGAGTTTGTAGAGGTTGTTCATGCATTGCGTTGTCAGTTTTTTTTATCGCTTCTTGTGTCACGCCTTCATTTATCGGAAAACTCATCGCAAAAAAGTCAGGTTATCCGTCAGACTGTGACAAAAAACATCTTTTTGTGTTCCAATTTATGGATATCTCTCTCGTTTTTTATTTCTTTTATTTTATTATTATTATTTTTTTTGTCGTAGTCTTGAATCTTTCACACAAATTCTTCTGGCGCTTAAAAGGAAAAAATAGCGATATCTTCATTGTACGGTATTCACCTTCACTGGAAACACCCATCTCAATACTTTTTTCATTACAGCTGGCAACATCACTTATTTTTTACACATTACAATTATATATTAAAAAGATAAATTAATGCATATACACCCGTTGTTCAATGAAGAAATACATCATATCGTATCTCATTTACCAAATAGGGAGCAGAAAAAGTGCGAACAAACGCATCTGTATTAGTAAGCAGAACTATCAGTACTAAAGAAGTACAAAATAATGCCCGGATGAACGTTTTATTTATACGCAGTCTCAGCAAACTATATAAAATCAAAGAAAGGAAGCTTGAATGACTAGTTCGCATTTTGCATTTTCAAAAGTGTTGTTACATTCGGCGCTGCCCAGCAGGTCCATTGTGAGGTCTGTGGATCGGAGATTTCATCTTCTTCATCATCTTCTTTTTCTTGTGGCATATGGAAAACCAAGCCCATGCTCGCCACGGATTCTATTAGATTCTAACCTCAAGCTCGTTGTAGCAAAAACAATGAGGAATTCCTGTTATACACTAATGTATCTGGGTGTACGAGGACACAGGAGTGAAACGACCTTTACGACACTGGTTAAAGTGATAATAACTCTTCGTTTTGGCCAAAAAATGAATTTTCCTGGAGTAAACAACAATTTTCCCATACTTACCAATGGTTAATGAATCCATTTTTACATTCAAAGTTAGTCCCTGGTTTTTTTCTAAAAAGTTTGGTTTTTTGTTAAAATCTCTTAAGAGGTTTTAACAGAGTATAGCCATCAATGGAGGTCACGTGGTCTAAAGACAAGCTCCGATATCAGAATAATAGCTATAACAGCCGTTTTTGTGGGAAAACAGAATATATTATATTTTTATGAGTCACTCACTATGTTTTTATTGTGAAATACAGATTTCATACGAAGAGTTATTATCCCTTTAACATTAACGTTCTTACTCTGAAGTCAGCATCAGCTTGTGACGAAAATTTCTTTTGTTAGTTCATTTTACAATGTAATTATTTTTCAAGCTATGTGAAACTGACTTATGTAACTAGACAGTTTAAGACCCCCATCTCAGATTCAGAGAAAGATGATCAGCCATTCCCCTTTCTCAAAGGATAGCCGACATAACATGCCGCTATCAGTTAGTTCAATTCATTTGAGTTATCTAAGGCTCACACAGTTTTATATTTAAGAAATCATTATACAAAAATGTCTATACTACATATTTCACTAAGCAGGACATGTCATTACTATAATAATGATGTTCTCCGGTTTTGTTAAACAATATGAATATCAACAGCCAGTATATAGAGTAAAATAGGCTATTATTTTATACGACTTTTATGTAGATCGACATTAAATGGCGCACATTAGCAACTTATCTGTCTTTATAGCATAAATTTTACACGATGGGATGATAGCACGACCGCTTCAACATGAATCCTACGCTGACATACTCTCTTAAACTTCAACTTGGCACGTAATACTGTAGTAGGAACCACGAAAGACATGAGTGCTCTGATTAACGCTTATTTGAATAGGGCCACCCTTGCTGTCACTCCAGTGATGGACGCAAGTGGACTTCTTTTCGAGACTGGATTTTCCACCCTTGGCCAGTCAGTTGTTGTAGTCTGAAAAGTTTGAGGATGCACTGGTATGCTTTAACTGTGCGCTGTGTATCCCACTGGGTTATATAAGATATAGCATATGATCTTTAACGTCACCTAAGTCTGATTCAATCACTGAATTCTGAGATTCAATGGTATGTACAAATGTATTTTAGTGGCGGATGGAAAATTACATGTAACGTGATAACATAACGCCTTTCGCCGAGAACGATAATCGGCAACTCCTCTTACATTATATGCTTCAAACAAAAATGCAAATTTGTGGAACGTTTAAATGATTTCGTTTAGTTGAAATGCCCTGTTGCACAACGTTGATCTTATCAGCGAGGATGTATTACCATTACAACCCCCTCTCTCACGTTACCGAAAACAGCTCACGACCCTGACGTGCCCCAGTGTTTTGCTTTTTGTAAGTTGTCTGCCCATGCGTAAGTATCTTTCAGTCAAGTTACATCCATATATGCATACCACTGTAAACTTTGNATGATGCGATCTCGACACCTTGAGTGAACGTGGTACACTGATTTTATCGCGAGTATGTGAAAGTTAAGTCAAGGTGGACAGGAGTTATAGCCGTCTTTGTCTTTCTTTAAGGTAGGTGCTTCGTAAAATGTAGAGACTAGCGATTATTTTCATCTTTAAAAAACTATTTCAGTATTTCAAGGGGAGGTAAGTCGTCATCATATCGTGCCGTATTGGCGTTATTTTATAATGTTTACTTACAGTCATCGGTTTATATGTCAAATTAACAAAACTTGACATACGGGGGCAGGGCGGATCTTTTCTTGTATTTCTCATCATGAAAGAAGATGACTGACGCGGACCAAGCCTATATATTTTTGAATTTGTCCTTTCCGTGATGTTTCCACTATATCATACACCGAGGTTCCCAGAGAGCACTATTGTGCATGTAGCATTTGTACATATATGTATTACATATGAGGTGACACCGTTAGCAGGCGGTTGTAAAGCAAACTTGCATTGCACTTATGCTTTTTATATAAGTATAAAGGGGGTAAATACTAGTGACAAGAAATTCACATATTCCCGTCACTTAACGTTGTTAAATTAGGCCCTCTATGTTCAAGTATAGGCCTACTTGGTAGGTCGTGTTCTTGTACAGGTTTTTACACTCCGAATAATGCTTAAATTTCGTGTGTCGAAGCAACTTTAACCAAAATAAAAAAAAAAATCTATTCCAGTAATTATATGTTAAGTGTAAAATACCGGTCCGGTATCAACCAGTCTTTCTTGAACATAAAATTATGGCATACTAGTAGCTTTCAGTAGTGATGGTCCTTGATACCTTAATTCCTTATCTACATGTAGACTACATGTATGTCATATTTGCGAACACATGTGCATGGATGACGTAGGTCATATAGCCTAGTTTTGATTTTGCAGACGACATAAACCTTGCCAATGAAAACAACGTAGCTAACATGACGAATATTACCACTCAGTTTCCCATCACCACAACTGGGCTCCACCATAAGGGAGAAAGTAAGTAGGCCTACTTTTTTAATTTCTGTGAATTACTAAATGTTATTATTTCTTTTTTTCTGAAGTGTTGTTAATGCCGGCACTGTGGATATAGGCTACAGTTTTGCACTTAATAACTTAAATTAAAAGTAAATTCTCTTGTTGAAGTCTTCCTGTAATATTTTGCATCATTTTTTTTTCTTTTTAACAATTCGATCATCGTCTGCTTTTTATCAATCTTTTAATACTTGTAGCTTATTTAGCAATTTTTATAAAGATTTTGCGCTTTACTTTCGAGTTATACTTTAATAATAATTCAAGAAAACATTTATTTACATGTATCAACGTGTGTTAATGGTACATATTTATTTCCATGATCAGCAAATCTCGAGGATTTAATTCACACAAGCACGCAATGGTCCGACTTAAAGTTCCATTGGGGCATAGGATGCTCCATTTTCGTTTTACTTGGCCTCGTTCTCGTGACCTTGCTGCATTTCCGGTAAGCGCCAATGATTGTCAATATAGGCCTACTTTAAGTATTGTTGTCTATGATGGAATAAATAGAGTATATATGTAGTGTCTACAGTGGGCACAAAAACTGTAATTTCTTGCATTGAATTGCTTTCACTGTGCGTGTTTGCTGACAATCTTGGTTTGAAAGGAAAGGATACGTTCTTTATGCCTTCAATCTGATCAAATTATTTTTCCTGAATTAAGTCAACCTTTCCTGATAACAGTCCATATCCTTGATGTTTTTTATTAGTGAAAAATATACTAAACTAATCGCTTTAAATTGTCAATGTTCCTATCTTCATTCTCTAGCCATTGCGATGTTTAAATGAACAATGTTTATCTATATTTGCTAATCTTATATAATTTGATATTGAAATGGTGCCATAATACGTTAACTGCGTGTGAAAATAATCTGACGAAAGGCGCAGTGACTTATATATCATTTGTTTGACTTACATCCCATTTTAATATTTTTATCGTAGAAAAATGTACCTCGAACCAGATAGAAAAAGGCGACGAGAGACAGAAAGATTTGCCAAGCAGCAGGGTAAAGAAATGATCTTTTCATATAATTTTTTAGAATTTTTCCTGTACTTTTCTTTTTACGCGGCATATCCCCAACTTATATAGGAAGAAACGCACTTTATTAGAAATGACTATATTATTGAAATTGTGAAACCAACAGCCCAGACAAAAAGAAATGTCAGATTAACTTGATTAAAAGCAATTATTTATATATCAGCGAATATCACTCTTGTAAAAATTATCTTTTTGAAAAAATACGTGTTGACCTACGGTGATCTTTGCTTCTGTATTTATTATCCATACGATTCATACTGAATTTACACACCATTACGAATTCATTATTTCCAGCACGAATTCAAATATCCGACAGAGAGGTTATCAGATTAAACGAACGCCCGATAAAGAAGGACGAATTCATAGATGAATATAACAGACGCAAACGGAAGAAGATTCTGGAACAGGAATTCTGGGTAAGATGTCCCTGACTGCATCAAGCAATGATTTGAAGTTTACGTTACTGAAATTTGTCTCGAAATGATGATTGCACTGTCGCAGCACAAAAAGCAACACCTAGAACTCTTCATAGACGAAACCAAAATTAGTATAAAATGTTGCAGCAACTAAATTTGTAAAATAAATGAATAAATAAATAAAATATAGAGTAGCACCATAAAGTATTAATGAAGGTGAAATTTGAATGGTGTCACACCACTCATTTTTTTAAAAAATTCTTCCTTTCTTCCTCGTGTTTATACGTGAACGTCTTTACAGGCATTGATTCGTATGGAAAAAACGAAGAAGACTAACATCGATTCAAATGGGCTAAATGGAATGGACCGCTTGGTGAAAGTTTTCCAGACTTCATGTAAGGAATCTTTCTGCTGTCCTTTAAGTGTTTGTTTATGTTGAATATTTGTTTTATAGCACAGTTATTGGTATTCTTGCGCTTATTTTCTTTTGATGGTTAATAAAATAGTCGCAGTATGTGTAAGATATAACAAGAACTTATTATGTCAACAAACACAGTCGGATGCTATGTGATAAAATGGTTGAAATCCTTTTTATTATTGTTCATATTATATGTCTTATCGTGTCGCGAATTTTATCTTTCTCGAATGAAAGGCGTTAGACCGAGTATAACGACTGCATGTAAGCTATTTTTTTGTCGTGGCGTCAGTTAAAAGTACGCTTTAAATTATATACTGCAGCCAAATATGCTAGTAATTATGGTGTTCGGCTGACATAGGGACATAAAACCACTGAACCTACATATTCTGTTTCTTTTGCGAAGTCAAAGGCGAAACAAGCACATGCATAAAAGTCATGTTATTGTAAAAGATATATCATTACAGCCAAACATAGCGGAACAAGGGGGTAGCATGGTAATAACATTATGCAGTAAAGTGATAAGATCTTAGGGATATCTTCAGAGATGCTTGTCTCCATGAGGACAAGATAGGGCCCTATTAGGTTTGTTTACACAATACCAAGAGGTGCAAGTCTTTCGCGGCGCTGGTTCGAACTTCGCCTAGTGATACCATATACGTTTAGAAAGAAAGTTTACGTACCAAGTGAAAGAAATCGAAAGGTTTTGTCCAACAAACCATCAAAACAGAGTACCATTTGCAGAAATGATTGTTTATCATCATTGAGTATGGATAGAGCGTTGGATAATCGCCAGAAATGGAACTGCTACAGTTTTTGGTGTTTTTCTAATAGTTTCATGCACTTGCCTTAAGAAAAGTTTAAAGGTCTCTCCCCTCGTGAGGACAATCAGTGAAATAGAAAAGATGCCCTTCGGACATAAACGTTTATTACCCATACGTGATGTGGGTATGAATTGAGGTCTATCTGCGCGTATACCAACACGGTTGATTTTTGACATGTGGAAAAATCTGAAAAGCTACGAGTTGATTCATAAGAATGTATGCGTTTGAGTTTAAGACCACTCATTCATTAAAACGAAACTACAGAAATGTTTAGACACCGTGTGATCGAATTATTTTAAGATGGGATTGTAATGGTTTTTGTGTTTAAATCATTCAGTATCATTTTAGTTAATATTGGACTGTATGAATGAGATAATATACAGTACTAGATTGCTATGTATATTTGAAAGGACGCAGCGGTGTAGAAACAAATTCTACAGTTAAACATATTTAAGCCAAACAGAGAAGTCACATGGCCCCTGTGTCCTAACAAACATTATTGCTGTTATATGTTTTGTGCATCAAACCGCAATCTTTCTTTTCTTACTAGTTGCTGTAGCGAACTCACTGTATGATGTCGCCTCAAAGAAGAAATTTTTAAACAACATATACACAGCCCCACTTAAAATAGACGTAAGTGTACTGTACTTCGGGCTTATGTAAAGGCATTAATTCTCATTTTACTTTAATTTATATAGCTCATGATAAAAGAGGACTTTCAGATCTAGATACAGATATTTGAATACAAGAATTTTTGTTCGATATCAGAAATTTCATTTTATTCTACATTTAACTCTTCTTTGTAGAGTTTTGAAAAGAAGAATGCGTTTGAAGCAGTCACAGGTGGGTCGCTATATTTTTGTCAAAAAAGATGATAATTGTATATTTTAACACCTAATCAAGTTATTTATTTATTTATATATTTATTTGAATCATAACCAGTGATTTTTATTTAACTACATACTGAAAACTTACATGTGAACGTGTAGTTGATGCTAGTGTGGCAATAATGTTCTCTCCACAGCGCCCCTGCCTCAGACCGACTGTAATTCTTACCTGTATGTTTTATTTATCTATGTACATAGTACTTACATGTACGTTGATTGTAGACATGTAGTTAAATGCTAGCCTGACAAATATGTTTTCTCCACAGCGCCTATGTCTCAGGCCGACTGCAACATGTTCTGGGAAATGGTCTGGAGAGAAAACGCCGCCTCTGTTGTCATGCTAACAGAGAGGTTCGAATACAGTAGGGTGAGGTGCCATTTTCCTCTTTGTCAGTGGGTTTGCCAAGGGTGTATGTCAGTATTTACCTCTACATGTATTATTCGTGGTCTAGTATCCGTATAAGTTAATACCAATACACACACACAGAACTACTTTCCGGGATACGTCCAAATGGTACTGGTATTATGTAAGGGTTTATTGATCAGTCTTCGTGCCTGATTTATAGCATTAATTTTATTTATTTTCAGTGGTAATAAAGGTCACGTTTTTTATGGGTACATATTTCTTTTATTAAAATCATGCATATACATCCACAATGCAACTTAGACTGTCGCTTCCTTTTTTAAATACAGGTTTTAAGTTTCAAATACTGGCCGGATAAACTTTCCGACAGATGGCACTACGGAAACATAAGGGTGACGCTCCAAGACACATTAAAGACTGCAGACTGCTTTGTCAGGACCATGGTGCTGCAGAAGGTATTTATCAACATTTTACCTCCCAGGTGAAGTCACAACCGTAAATATAAAAATAGCACCAGAGCAGAAAATAATGGTCATCATCATAACCACCATGAGTGGTCATTAAAAACTGAATGTTGAAGATGACTAAAGAGTTAAGGTACAGAGACAGCCGCAGATCGAGATAAACGGAACGACCCCATATTGTAAGAGCATCACTTCAAATGACACTCATTAAATGATACTGACATTTCCAAAGTTCAAGGGGTTGGAATCCCAAGACGGGAAGTACTTGTGCCTCGATTTGGCCGATTGTAGTGTGCAACGAAAGGCTCAGCAACTGTGAATAAGTGAGCTCAGCACCTGTGCTATATTTTATGGGCACATATGGGACGAAGAAAGACAAGATATGTTGTTACTCGGTTCTCGTATCATTTTAAGTGTACTGTGCGTGAAAGTGACTAAATAGCAGAATTGTCAACGAACTCAACATACCTCCTTCTTGGGGGTTCAACCCCTTTGAAGATGCTGCATGTTACTTAGATATTTGTTAAACTTGTACTGCAAAACAACGCGTGAGTGCGTGCACACACACGTACGCACGTGCGCATGCACGCTCCCATAGTGCTTTTTTACACACATTTTACTTCAGCGTTGAATCAAGAAAAGTGTGTTTTAATATGACTTTTGGAATGACCTTATCGACTAAGGTATAATTTAAAAGCACTTGTACAGATGAGAACGACAATGAAGATATTTATTTTTCGTTTTTCCACATGTACGGGTGATTAAATGTTGTCGTATTCATAATTGGCCGAGCAGACGTACTCTTCCTTATAATTCAACCGTGCGAATCCATTGCATTTTCTGTTTTATATGTATATAATTTATCATCTTGTACTTTTAGAAACACGGCGTCGAGAAGCGAACGATAAAACATTTCCAAATACGCAGTTGGAATGGAGGGCGTCAACCCACACCCGCCATGTTGGTAGACCTGTGGCGGAGAGTTAACGAGGAGATGGAGCGCAGAGGAAGACTTTGTGGACCAATTATTCTACACGAATCGTAAGTTTTATTTTTTCACATCAACCACTCTTTATTAATTGGTTATCGCGGCATTGTTTATCATTTTTACTTTGTTGATTTTATGTCATACCCCCCTCCCCAGTATCTGTTTGCCTTTTGTCACTAGACCACAGAAATAACATGAAAACTGCTGACAGAAAACTAGTTAAGTGGTAATCCTTACGTTGTGGCTTTGCTTCTTTTATCTCACGCCTGTGTTTTCTAGTGGTCGTGAAATGTGCATGGCGGTCGTTATTGAGTTTTTAAACAATCTGTAAATTCAAACATCGACACTGCATGTTCAGCAAAGTAAAACGAACGTATTGTTGGGATCTTTTGAAAACATTTTGGTAACCCACTCCGAACGTCCGTAGATTTAGGGAAGTTGAATCTTTGGTTCTTATGTTGTTTCATTTATTGCATGGATAAACATGCTTCCTTGTTATTTATTTTAGAAAACAGAGCTTCGCCAAAACCGGTGTATATATCGCGTTCCATGAAGCTATCACACGACTGCGTGCCAAAAATGATGTTAACATTTTCAACTATAGTTCATATATGCATAAGGTTTACCCAGGGTTGACTAGTGATAAGGTAAGATGAACTTTGAATTGAAATTTTGGAAGGTTGATATCATAATGCATGCATTTTATGCGGGGTACATTGAAGGCAACTTAATTATCTATATAACAAAAATAAATTAAACATTTTATTTTGCCTTACTTTTCTGCGTACTTACTGAAATACATTAAACTTTGCTCATTTGTTCTTCCATTTCACATATTACAAAGTCAAAACATTCTCACACAATCTTGTTATGTCAATTTTATGGATGCAAAATGATACCGTAGTGATCGGCGAAGGCAATTAAAAGAAATACTTCTTGTATAGAAACAGCTCGTTCTTTCAGGAATCTTACGAGTTCATTTACGACGTCGTTGCCACGTTTCTCAATTGCCAGTTTGCCGGAGTAACGGTGGAAAAATTCGAGGGCCTATGCAAAAACCTTAGCAGTAAAAGGGGTTGGTTTCACAGGGACGGGTATCAAAAGGAGTTTGAGGTATGTAAACCATTGCTCGCAAACTATTACATCAAAATAACATGAAAGTGTTTTAAAACATTTAGATAACTTGAAAATTTGTTCCCTATAATGAATAAATTTCAGTTTTGCTGTACTGATTCTCTTAGTTTTTATGGTGCATGCGCGTTGGAACATTTCATCAGTGCTCCGCGCAGAATTTTTTGATGAGTGCCGAATTGCGGTTGTTGTACCAATGATTTACTCGCTCTGTATTAAATATCCCCTACCGCAATGGGAATATATTCGAAGTTAAATACACATTAAACCCCGGAAAAAATTTTTAAAGTAATGGTTTTTTCTTTTCAAACATTTTTTACTTTAATTTTAAAGCTGCTGAACAATATGGCGCCTGTGCTGACCCCTAGCGACTGTGCGGCAGGTTACATGTTAGAAAACAGGCGGAAGAACAGAGATGCTATTTTACTGCCACGTGCGTATTTATCCTGTAATTTGTGTAATGTATAGCAATAAACTAAAAAGTTCTTATCCACGACTATTAGCACAATAGCAATGTTTATATGCTTAACTACAACTTTTCTCAATTCATGCTCAATTTCTCTTTGGTGTAAAGGCCAACGGATAAACAAAATGTTTATTTCATATTTCTCATGATAATCTGTGTGCTTAGTGTCTTTACAAACTCTCTTCTTTTAAAGTATAAGCATACATATTTCCTCTCAAGTGGGTTTCTATTTCTTTTACGTTACAATGAATACTTAGTGTAACTCATAATTTGTACATGTAATTTTTTTTTCATCCAGCGGATAAAGCTCGGCCGTACCTGAAGAGCATTCAAAGATCGTCCGGGACTGACTACATCAACGCTCTTTTTGTCGATGTAAGTTTTATTACGGAATGTTACCCATTCAAATGGACATAGTGTGGGCTATGAAAGGAAATGTGGGCTGTACTCTTGATGTTTTTAGCATTTGTTTTAATACTTGTAGAAACCTTGTTTGTATGACACAAGCATGCTATAGTAGGAACAGGGACGTAGGCTGTGGTTTGGGGAGACGGGCATCCAGATATTTGTGTAAAAGATTTATTTTTGGACCTATATCAGGTATAACCCTTTCCTTTTGCCCAATCCACCAGAAGACTTAATTTTCCCTCAGTCAGCATCTAGATAAGCACCTCAGGCTGTACAAATAACTTGCTTACCTGTATTGTTAGTCTTCAACAGTTGGAACATTCATAGTCAGTCAGAGCATTTTTCTCAGCCTTGACGAATAACCTAAATTTAAAGGTTTTGCGGTAATAACAAGCTGATGACAACCAGTGTTTTTCGTCTTTATTCTTAATTTGTTCATTTCTGGAACTTTTTAGGGATACAGCGAATCTAATGCCTTCATAGTGACGGAATGGCCGTCTACCAAAGGAACGGTCAATTACCTATCTACCGTCGGGGACTTCTGGACGATGGTGTTTGACCATGACATAAGTGAAATAGTGGTGCTGCATAACTTTAAACATAAAACGGTATGTCTGAGGGACGTAGACTTTCTACAATCATAATATATACATCTGCTGAATTTTTTTATTATCGTTGTGTATGTGTATGTGTATGATAAATGAAATATATTTCCATTTAATCAGTTTCGCGAACCGTTCTGGCCCACTTCTATACAATGGGGTGAAGACTACAATAACTTCAGAGTCTCTCTGCTCTCAGGGAAACGACAACCCGAATACATGGTCAGGAACTTTTCTGTCATGGTAAGTGATAATATAATGGCTTTTATAGAACCTTAAGGCTTTCTGGAAATTATACACTGTTTCTATGACTAAGAGATTTTCCTGATACTTTTTTTTAGGTTTTTGTAAAAATTCCCCAAATTTTTAGAATAAGTTTTATCGATGTTCATATCAAAAAAGCATCGCACTTGTGAAGCAGAGTGCAAACTTAAATTATTTTACCGATGTATTTATTTATTTATCCATTTATTTGTCAAGTTTGGTATTGGTATATGTTTCAGAAAACGATAGACGACAAGATGTACCGCATGCTCGGGGAACTAGGCGTGGTAAGTGCGCGGGAAGGACGGGCAGTTAGATAGATATATAAATACATAAATAAATAGATAGAAAGAAAGAAAGGAATACCGTTCGTCTCTTTCTCTGCTGCTTTAAATGGCATGTCCAAAGATACAGCTTTAATGAAAGCATTTTTTTTTTGCTTATTCACAGAAACTTGCAAAGAAAGAACGTGCTTTCAACTCGGTGTGTAAATACGTCACCATGATCCAACTTCTCAAGTGGCCAAAATACAACCGCAAAACTGGAAGACTAAAGGAACAGCAAGGACTCATACAGGCAGCGCTCCTGGCGGAGGAATTGCAGACTAAGAACGCGTCCAAAACGGGGAAAGAACGCCCGATTTGTGTTGTGTCAAAGTATGTCTGTTTGGCAAAACGTTTTGAATGTAGTATTATTATACATTCCAAACTATTAAAATACACTTCTCATTGAAATTCTATCGATATAAACCAAAATATAATTTAACTGGCCCTCTTAAGAGTTACTTCTTGCTGAATTATCAACTGTATTATTTGATTTTAAAGAATAAGATTTTTGCAATCATACACTGTTTTTTATGTGTATAGAGGAGCCTGTCTTTGTTAAATGTCATAATCACATGCAGCCCTTGCAATGGGAAAATTGCCAGACTGACAATGTGAGTCTCAACTTCTTCAAGCTACATGATTATAATAGTGATATATTTCTATTCGTTCTGAAGGGATGGAGTGGGCAGATGCGGAGTGTTCTGCACTGTGAGTAACGCGCTGAGTAGGATCAAAGCCGAAAGAAAAGTTGACATCTTCACCACAGTGAACGCCGTCAAAACAAACAGATCTGTGCTGGTCAAAAATGTGGTATGACTGCTTCTCCATTCACTCTCTTCCTGTATCTCCGACTACTAGTTCATTCTATTCAATCGCATTGATTAATTGTGCCGATATGGCTCATGCATTTTAAAAAAGTAAGATTTACTGTGAGATTTATGAAAATTATTAAAGTTGTAACTTAAAATGAAAGAAATTCGATAGTACGATCCTTCGTTATCTGCATGTTTGCGCGTTTGTGCTCGTGTATGCACACGCGCTCATACGTGCGTGCATGTGCCGGAAAACAAAATTTTCACAATAATATAAATGAATTTATTGTCGTTACAGAAAGAATACAGACTTTGCCACGATACTGTTATGGACTACATCAACGCCGAAACTACCGGAATAGTGAACGGTGGTGGCATAATTAATGTAGCGTATTGTAACGAGACGGAGACAGAGACGGAGAAAGAGTCCCACGTTTAGCAAAGGATTACGAGAAAAAGAACGAAAATAGAGGGAGCTGTGCACAGAAATGCCACCGGAATTATTAAGGATGGACTTGTAAAATGTCTCCCCTATTATAAGGAGCAAAATGCATTTGACCATCTGGAAGGTGACGGGTAAAACCGGAAAAATGCAGCGAGACCAACAAAAATGATTCGATGTTTATCGCATGCACTGAATCAGTGCCTTACCTGTAGAGGCATCTGTTTTAAAAAGTATTGTTACTATCCTCGTCCTGTGTGACACCATCTTTACCAGAAATGAAAAGGGGAAGTTTTTGCCTTGGTGGCAGATACTGATTGACAACACGCAAAGGAAAACATTTCAAAACGGTTCTCATTGCCAAACTTCACAGGGGACAGCACGTGACCTTCAATGAATTCGATGTACTTCTATGAAGGTGGCATTTATACGAAATTTTATGCTTTTAAATTCAGTGGGCAATAGTTTGAAATATCCATGCTCATTTTTCAGACAGAACAGAAGTGGATTTTGGTGGCTATAGCCTTTAACCTCATTCAGTGAGACGGTTGGGAGAACCTTTACATCTTTTTCGAAAAAGATATTATAAATTATAATAACTTTATGGTATTGAATGTGTTATATGCAAAATATAGACAAAGTTATTAAATTGGCCCTCACAACCTCATGATTTAAGACGACATTATTGGTTGCTATTTGGTTTGCAATCTATTTTATACGATATTACATATCTGTAATAGGAGCAATGTGGTACCTTAACGGTATTTGTTTTAGTAAGATTGCCATAGAGCCATCATTCCATTTTATTTCTCTCATATTTTTAATATAAGTTAATAATTATCCCAGTTTACCATCACTCATTCATTTGAGATTAAGGCCCGTTTTTATTATTACACTCATGCCACTTTGTAGACGTTTGATAAGTTGTTTATCGTTCGAATGACAGGGGGCATAGAATAGTTACGGCTGAATAAATAGATTCGCTGGCGAATCAGAAGACGATAGTTACTCTTTCAATATTTATGTATAAGACGCACTGGACTGAAATAAGTGATATATTGTGTGCATGTACCTCACTTTATTTATTTTTTTACAACTTATTTATTTACTTGTCAATTTATAAGACAACTACACTCCAAAGAATTTACAGCTGAAATTCCAATTAATCTCCAGATAAGCTAAGTAGACTATGGATCTAACTAACAGGGAACTGTTTTGAAAATTGTTCACAATGATTTGTATCCCGGGCTGAAACACCAACCGAACCGTTTGACTTTCAACAATGTTGTTTGTGTACTGGATTTATGTATTTAACATCCCACAATATATCCTGCATTCTATGAAATGGACGTGTTTTTCTTTTAACTGTGACTTAATCCCGCAATTAGTCTTGTTTTTCGTGCGCCTTTGTCCAACATACAGACATCACTGCTGCGGAATGAATTCTGAAGAAAATAATAATGGGCGCCGTTAGATTGTGAACTATCTTCCATGGAAGTTCTCCGTAAAATGAATGGAACAATTTATGTTCTTCTGCCTTTTTAAGACCAAATGTGCTGCAGAGCCACAGGCTCAGATTACATATTATAAGAAAAACCAGCAGACCCCGCCCCTTCGCGTGCACAACACTTCTTCCGGAGGGAATTACTTCCGGGTCACGACGGTCATTGTCGGCTAGGAATGCCGTTTGTAAAGTTGCCTGGATTAACCCCAAAACAACGAGAAGTAGAGCCAAAATGGCATTCAAGTGATCGGGGTGTCCTTGACTAATATACCAAATGTTTGGCATGGCGATAAAAGTATACTGCAGATAAGCTCCAAATGTTGCCATAAATAAAAGATTGTCATCCACTGTGTCGGTTTCCATTCCTAGATAAACTGCATTTCTCATATAACGCAACGCCACCAACACTGTGATTGAATTCACCAAGAGCAGAAATATCTCCAGACAAAGATACAGAGTATAAGCAAGCTCGCTGTTTTCCGACTCAGAGTTCTCGCCATTGTCAAGAGAGATTAGAAAGTAAACGAGAACCGCAAATGTAACCATAGCAATAGAGACTCCTAAGAGAGCGCCAATTGAGGAGGGCCTCTGCCAAGAATGCTTGAACGATGTTTTCAGTGTTCTGCGGCCTTCATGGTCTTCGGATGAGTTTTCCGCTGGGGCACCGATGCTTGTGAATATGATGTACATGAGAGTGGCTCCAATAACGCTGTACTCTAACACAAATGGATATAAATATGGCGAGGCTTGATCGAAGATAATCTTTATGGAACGACATTTGGCCTCGATGGTTTCTGATGTTTCTGAAAAGTCAAAAAAGAAAAGTCGGTATTTTTAAAAAAATCTTGTTCATTGGGTTTAAAGGACAATGGGAACACAGAATGACGTGATGACGAAGGTGATACCTGTACTAAATTGGACATTACAGACCTACTAGTTTAAAACATGTAAGGTTCCAGGAAAGATGTCCCAAATAAGACCAAAACGATTTTTTCACTGTCTCATACTATCACGCTGGAAAACTGTTTATTCTAAGAAAATTTCCAAATGGCTACAAGTCAATGGTCAGTGATTTATATACGTACCAGTAGAGAGAGAGAGAGAAAGAGAAAGAGAGAGAGAGAGAGTAAGGTGCGAAATGGTTTTAAGCTAGGATAACAAAGATTGGCATAAAAAGTTTATAATTATGCCCCCACTAACCGGTTGAGTTTTCCTCGCTGTCTTTCGATGATTCGCCGAAATCTTCTGCAGTGTCCATTGCGGAGTAGGCAAAGAAGACGCAAATATTGGTGACCATCAGGTGCATGAAGACTTTGTTTGCCAATCGTGTCTTTGCTGTTACAACAATCTGAAACATATTTGAAAAAATAATTGTAATACTGGATAAGACATTCTGATGGACGTTTTCTCCATTTTCATTAAAAATCCGTCCCATAAAAAATGGGAAGTTTTGAGCTTTCGGATACGTTTACAAAAAAGCACAATGAAAAGATATATGAGTATTTCATGAAAGGGGTGCAACCCTAAAATGGAGCTTTTAAGCTAAAAAACATTTAGACCAACAACTTGATTCATTCATTTCAAGAACAAATTGGATACATCTTTTGAAGTCCATATAAATAAAGTAAATATACTGGCTTGAAATATTGCCCGAGTACTCCCTGATATAACGCAGTTGCAACATTTCCTAAAATAGGACCTGCGATGGGACTTCTACTTGTTTATCTTGGGGCTCAGATTTTGGACCATTTATTTTTATTTTTTTAAAATTATTTATATATATATATATATATATATATATATATATATATATATATATATATATATATATATATATATATATATATATATTTGCTTATTTTATTTATTTATTTATTGAGAAACCGACCGCTGTTTAAAATGTATAATTACCTTATGATAGCGGACAATGAACACAGTTTGCACAGCGAGAAACAGGCAGTGTACGGCTGAGGACACAATGGGAACATTGGACACGCAACCGTAGACTTTCTCCTGGACGTATTCGGCTATACTGAACCCGTCATACAGCAATGCCCCGAGGGCGAAGACTGGAATGATAAAAACAAACCTTGTTATTAAACATAATCATACAGGTAGGAGTAGTGGAACTGTTGTGTGTATGTGTCGGTGGGGGGGGGGGGGGGCAGTGTATGTGTGTGTGTTTGTGTCAAACGTAGGCTGTTTTACTTAATAAAAGTTGAATAAAAAAACACACAAGTACGATGTTGACGATTACATACTGGTACGTATAAAAAAAATCATGGCAGATACCGGGCTGAATAATTACGCAAATGTTTAACAAGCGGTTCAATAGTGTAGTGGCTATCACGCTCGCCTCACACGCGAGAGGTCCTGGGTTCGAACCCCAGTTGAACCAGCCTTTTTTGGTCTCAAGTAGGCTAATTCCAGCTGATGTAGGCGCCAGTTGAACGGAAGCACCAATAAAGCCCTATCACACAACTGTTTATGACCACACTTTACTCCTAACATCCTTCTTATCGACGACTGTTCTCGTGAATGACCGCGCTGTAACGTTTTTTTTACTTTAGGCAGTCGAACATTTTCTTTGTGAAACGTGGACCTACAGTAACCTTAATTTTTCCATATATGATACCTACCGACTGCAGCAATCCTAAGGTAAAGAGTAATGCCCTCTCCGCCGTAATGCACCCTAGGCTTGTCATAGAAGACCTTTGCAGAGAGTGAAGTTACGGCTCCATCTAGCGGTGCACATTGATGTCCATTTTCGCTTCCGTTGGTTGGTTCCAATGGTATGTCAGCTGGTTTCTGATGGTCGCTTGATTTTTGGATGTTGTCTTTTGATCCGCGCAACAAATAAAGGAAAACGTAAAGTAGAGCTGCTACAGAGGCCAGGTACAGATATCCATTGAAAACCTAGAATTTTGAAATGACAATAACTTTATATACTAGACTGCAGCAGTGGCGGATTTGGGGGGGGGGGGGGTTGGGGGTGACCCCCCCCCCCTTCGATTTCTAAAGAAAAAAATTACACCAATGGTCCCCCTCTTGAAATTAGAATTTGACTAGCTGCATCATAGCCATCCGTGGACCCTCCTTCAAATAATCCTGGATCCGCCCCATGGTTCATCTAAATTCATACGTGTATTTGATGAATATATAATTAATCATGGCGAATGAATTGGTCTGAATACCAGCACTTTTGCATTGGAAAAAATACTGTGAAACAGTTGATTTATTATTTCTTTATTCATAAATACAATTTGCTGATAACTATTTCCACTAAATTACCTCCACGTAGAGCGCATCGTTGAAACCACTGCCACGTACGAAAGCGGCAGTTAAAGGAAAGGCGATCCCCAAGCTGACGATAAACGTGCCATACACAGTCGCCAGATTACGGTGGATGGAGTAACTGAAAATAAAAAACTATGGATTTTATACCTACGAAAAACTGGATGCCAAATTTTACATCCGATGATTGTGTTGCATGCTTTAGGCGTCGGAGAGGTCCGCCTGGAGTACACAATAGGGCTTATAGTTGTAAATGTAAGTGCTGGAATGTATTTGAGTAAAATTAAAAAAAACAATATAATTTGAACAAGCAAAAACGGTTATCAAATTGAGACATTTTTTTGACAGATGTGTCAGCCAGCATCCACCAAAACTTCGTATGTAAAGGAAACATGGTTTTAATGGCATCACCTCAATTTTTTGCTTGTGTACAGTGTATGTGCTGATTGTTTGTCTCCTGCGACCTTTGCTAAGAAACGCATTAGCTTTCTGCCCGACACCAATAACATCAAATAACAAAGAGGGAATTAAATGAAGCATCATTAGCTACGCACGGTTTCAAGTGCGTAATGAGAAATGTGATTTAACAATGGTGCAATTAAGCTGTATGTGGTGAATTAGGCGTAGAGTTTGAATTGCCCACTTCGATGTTTATATCGATGGAAAGATCGATACTGTTAGGGTCCGATTTCCACTTTGCTTTCGACAGCCATTTCACAATCAATTGCTATTCATACTGAATTTCTTTTTTAATTGATTCGTCGAATTTTGGGCAAAACGCCTTTAAATCACATAGGCAGTTAGAAAACCTCTTTAGCCCTGCCTCATTAGGGTTATTGCACTCGTAGATTTCAACCCATATTCATTCTGCTGTTACATAATATACCTCCTTATCAGACTGCTGCATGATAACATGGCTATTTATGGAGGACAGAAAATAGCATGCATCTCTGTGTTGTTGAGCAAAATTCAAAGGAATTAAAGACCCAATGCTTTTGTATGTCTTGCGAGAAAGTCGAGTGAAATGTGCATCAACCTGCGCAAGATCCATAGGATAAAGGTTGTTAGATCCATTTTTTTCACGTCAGTCATTACCACAAGAGACAGGGGCTTTAAGGGCATACAGAACAAGTTGAGATGCGGACTAACACCCCATTTCTATAGATTAGATCGACCTACTTTAGATCGACCTAACTCCCTGGGGGTTCACGCTAAATAGCTGTCAGCCGGGCGGACACGAAAGTTAATTACCCCCTTACAGCTTGTAGTAGGCGGGACGGACATTTAAGTCGGATTATCTGAAAGTAATCTAGTGAGACTCCCCGCGGGGATAGATCGATCTAAAATCTATGGGAATAGAGCCT